AAACCTGGGTTTACAAAAATATGCAAAACTTGACTGGCAAACTTTGGAGTGAGAGCCTTAGCTCAACTGTCTGTCTACAAAATATGCAAAACGTGATTAGTAAACTTAGGAGTGAAAGCCTTAGTTTAACTGTCTGTCTACAACATATGCAAAACTTGAATGGAAAACTTGATTGGTAAACTTTAAAATGTTGACCACACTATACTACTGGCTAACATGATCATTGAATGAAAAAACATGTAGTAATTTGTACAAACAAGCCTCAATAAATAACATGACTAGCACTTGACATGTTGAGTTCATTATAATCTTGTCCAACTCTATCAAAAAATCATTAACTGTGAGACATATGGTACATATATTAATGACATATTTAGTATTACACTACATGGGATATAAATTCATAACATAGTATGGCATAATCAGTAGTGTACATGTAGGTAGGATTTTGGATTGAGGAGCAAAGTACCTAAATTTTCCAATATAGCTTACATATTATTCTGTATGTAAAGTAAATCTAATGTCAAAGCTTTTCTACTATTGTAAATTAAATGGAGTGTATTAGTCGACAAATTTCCAAGGAAATGTTCCCAAATTCTCAATTGCTTAACAATTCTGACATTCCCATAGTTAATAAATTTGCTCTAAAAACAAATATACAAAGATATATCAATGAATGGAGATCCTGACTTCACATTTCACAAGCTATCAGTTCAGACCATCTAAACGTCTATCTAGACTGTACAATACAAACTTTACGGTAAATGACTTTATTTCTCACATTGTCAAGCAGAATATAAAATTCTAATGCGCATGAACATTTTCACATGGTCCAAAAGATCCAATTATTGAAACAGCCATGCTAACATTTAAGTATTTAACATATATTCGTAAAGATAGGTTGCCAGGCCAAAAAACATACGCTCACAGCAGTTAAGTCATCTGAGCAGTCCATACAAGTTGTCACATTTTATGCTTTTGTTGTAATGTTGTAGGATAAGATATGATTAGAATTTGAAGATTTTTCCCCACTGCTTATCAAAGAGAATCGGCAGTACCTCAAAAAAGTATCAATAAAATCATCACCAAATTCTAATCGCCACTTTCATTTTATTTTTGGCAAATGCCAACTGTAGCATTAGCCTTGTTTACACATTGTATAAAATAGTTTTGAATTACTTTTCAACTTGTATCTCTTAATTTCACTAATATTACAAAATCTTACAGATAGTCATGTGTGAAAATAATAATATGATACAATACCGGTAGTTAATTAATGTAACACTGATACCGGTACTAGAATAAATTTAATAGATTGTTCAAAATGATAGATACCTCAATATCTTTGATCAGCTAGAACTGAATAATTTACCAGTACTGTTATAATATTTACAATTATTCGTACAAATTTTATTGTCTGCATGAACAATGGGATGCTCAATTTTGTTATTTTTTTGCTGACTGCTATTTCAGATACTACTGGATGAATAAAACCAGATGGTACTAAAATATGCATATCAAGATTGAACATTATTCAAAGAGCTATTAATATTACCAATTTACTAAAACAAAAAATATATAGATACATATTTAAAGCATGTATACATGCTGTTATCTTTTATTTCAATATAGTATGGCAGTTTAATGATATTTTCAATAATTTATATCAACATCATGTTTGTGGTTCAACGATCAATTTTTAAAACTGAAATAAAGATAAATCTTCGACATTTAAAACACAAATTATTTGTCAATTTAAATCAACACTAATGTTGTAATCTTACGGGGAAAAGATGGGCTTCTGATATCCAATATTTAAGACAAAATAAACATTTAACCATTGGAAAATGAATCGTGTACCATAATGCGTTTCAGTCCCATTTGTAACAAGGGACTGTAGGAACGAGGCTAGACATATTCCACAAGTCATGTCAAATGGTGACGTCATAGTCTTATCTGGAGAGCATGTGCAATAAATACTATGTAGACTGGAATAACCAGATGCTAGAGATTGCCAGCCATTCTGGCGTATTTCGCCGAACATAACTGATTTAAATTAAGAATAAAATCGGAAACAATTGAATGTAAATCAGTATATTTAAATTCATATTACATTATTATTATGCGTTGTGACCCATTTGTGTCAATATTAGCGATTTAGCTCCTTTAAACATGCATTATGCAAGAGCTAAATCTGCCTATTGCTGGTCTTTCTTTAGGCCTTAAATGTTACATAAATTCTTAATTAGACATTAATTAACTTACCAAGACCATAATCAACTCTCGATGTCATCGGATGCCTGCGATGTTTAGTGGATTTGAATACATTTTGTGATAGATGAAATTACCGTAAAAATGGATAATTGAGACTTTGTTTATTATCATAACAACGTTAGTAATGAATTGCTAATAATATCTAGTTTCAGAGTGAAGCAATTTGAATGAAATTTTCAGATTCTCTTTTCATCATCTATTTTTTAACTAATATTGCGAGAACTGTCAGCTCTTTATCTAATCTTACCTAATGTCCCTTTAATTGTAATGAATTTATCATTATCGATTGGCACCTGTAGCAACAATATTAATAATTACATGAATACCTACAACAGTAGCTATATTATTGAATAAAAAGTATATTTAGAAATTTAAAAACTTTCAGTGATGCAGCTAAATACTGCTTTGCATTTGGCAGGAATTCAGTTTAATAACGAATAACGGTTTGTAAAGTATTTCATTGCTCTAACACTGATCATTAGTACGCCCACATTTTGTAAGAGATGAACATATAACAAGCTAAAAAATGATAACAACATGCGACAATATCAAAAGAACCCAAGATCTTTGAGATATAAACATACATATTAAGTTTCATAAAAATTGGATAAAAATTGTGACTTCTAGAGGTTCCATAAGCTAGAAATGCAATTTTTTGTACAATCAGGTGACATAATCCATGAAGTTACGGTCCGGTTTGCGTGAATATCAAAAGGAACCAAGATCTTAGGGACATAAACATATATCTTAAGTTTCATCAAAATCGGATAAAAATTGTTACCTCTAAAGTGTCCACAACTTTGGTATTACATACTTAAACACATATTTTATCGGGCAGTTATGGTCCAATTTTTTCTAGGGTGTAACAGTGATATATATGAACTTTTTTTTAAAATCGGATAAAAATTGTGACCTCTAGAGGGTCAACAAGCTAAAAACGCAATTTTTAGTACAATCAGGGGATATAATCCAGGAATTTACAGACTGATATGCGAGGATGTCGAAATTAACCGAGATTTTTGGGATATAAACATATACTTTAAGTTTCATCAAAATCGGATAAAAATTGTGACCTCAAGAGGGTCCACAACCTTGGACTATAACTCATTTCAAGATGGCACCTGATCTTGTTTGTTTATATTTAATCATCTATTACCTTCTAAAGATTAGGACTTAATTTACTTAAATTTAAATAAGGAAAATGTCTATTAGCCTCCTGGCATATAGCCTACAATTCAGATCAAAACATAGTGTTGAATGTGGGTTATCTGCAATGTGTTATTTCCATAGTGCTGAGGTGACAATCTCTACAAGATTAAATTTTATTTTTGTAGATTTAGCTATCTGGCTTTATCTGCAGACCTATAAGTTTAAATGTAGAAGGACATCCACAGTATTAAGTTAATCAACAGGAAGTCAACTGAGATTTCACCTGATATTACCCATATTCAAAGGTCCAGAAGTACTGTTGTCAAACTTAATACCCATTCTTAAAATGGACATTAGTGCATTGGAGACTTTCGACATTTGGAAATAAATAATTCTTGATTTGACTATAGTTCTATAAAGGACGTTAAAAATAAACTGCAAGCAAAATCTAAGATAAATCGGTTCAATCCAGCCATGACACATGGACGTTCACTTTACTCATTAATTTACCAGTTGTCAATTGTTTCTTTTGTATTACTATTAGGCCTACTTCTTGAATTTTAATAAGTAGATGAATCTAAGGTTGATATTTTTCAAAATTAATTACAATATTCCCAATGTAATTTTTCACCTTTGCTACTACATAATAAGGTTTTTTGAAATAAAATGGTATGATTTGAATAAACTAATGGAAGATACACCTAAAAATGCCATTTTATAATAATATCTGAAAATTCACGAAAAAAAAAAAAAAGATTTATGAAAAATCTTTGGTTTTTTTGGTCCAAATAAAAAAAAAATGTTTTATTAGAAGCAATAAATTTAATGTTTGAAAAAAACCCAACTGAAAAATTCTAACTTTTGAACATATGTACATGGTTTCTGTAACTGAACCAATACCGTATAATCAATGCACAATTCAAAATTTGACAGGTAGGCTACCCAACTGCCATTAATTCATTAGTGGACGAGTTAACTTGCATTCCTTTATATTGTACAGGTGTTTACAGTGACTGACACGCGACTAGCATTCAGTTGTAAAAAAAACCTCCCCACTATACAATTTGCAGGTAAGTTTAAAACTTTCGACAAAGAGCAGATGGGGCACGTTTGTCAGAAATGGGGTTTAATTGCATCCACTCGGCACAAACTGGGTCATTTTTATTTCAATAATTTGCATGCGCACAGGGGTCTTTAGCAGTTGGAGGAAACTAGAGGACCCAGAGAAAACCCAAAAGGTTGGACAGGCGACCCTACTCCTTGTCACATACAAGCGGGAATTCCAAACCACGCCACTTGACAGACCTTATGATCAAACAAGCAAGCATTGAACCATTCGGCCACCCAACCCCGTCACGTTCAGAGTTGAACTATAAAGCCTGCTATATAATGGAGCTATTTTCAAATGGAGCTATTTTCAAATGTTGAATCAAAAGTTCAGACCTCAGCAGCAGTGGATGTTGCCAATCCCATTCAAAAAAGTTTAGATTATAGTTAGATTTAGAACTAACTAGTAAGAATAAGAACCATGATTATTAAAACTTCAATAAAAGTGTCTACTATTACTAAGTACTTACAAATTTACTGATATGTGGAAATCGATGAAACTAGTAATTTCTGATTATAACATGAACTGCACAGCTGTTTAATTTACATGACTGGTTCGTCATACATTAACGCCTTTATTATTATTTCAATCCGACTGACGATTGTATCAACTATCATTCCATTCATTCATATCATTAGGCCTATATATTCGATCTCCATCCGTCAGGCCGTTTTCTGAAACCTGGAGGAAACAACAAAAAAACAGGTCAGGATCGAGTGAATATGTTTCATAAATTCTTCATTTCTGAACAACATGGTGCATTTTTCTGTTTTCGACAAAATGTTGTAACTTTATTATAAACTTAATTACAATAGAACAACTTTGAAATGGAAACATATTGAGGGAATTATTCCATTACCATTCAAAGGGAGAACACTCCAAAAGATCCAAAGTAAAAGTAGTGGGGGAGATAACTCCAAAATTATTTTAAAAGTAAAAGTAGACTTCTCTTCCGGTAATTGTAAAAAGCACGGCGATGAAATGGTTCCTTTAAGATTATCTAGATATTTTAATCCAGCTGTTTGTGATTTTGGTGTTTTTTCGTGCCTTACTCGACAACAAATACTTCCTAATCATCTTGGTAAGACAAATTCAGAACTGCTATCTCAATACCTCAAAGGAATCACAGGCCAATGTCAAAGACTGTGAATTTGACCACGCTGAAATGGGACCACGTACATTTGTAACTAAAATAAGACTATAATAAACTGAGATTTTAGACATTTAACTAAGTATATGAATTGATCGAGACAATATTATGACTATCTGAGCTTTTACTTACTCCAATTAAATTTCGATTTCTCACTGCCCAATGGTTCTCACATTTATTGCAGTTTCTAGATATTGTGTTCATTAGCCCGGTTGGCGTCAAACATTTCTGACACTACCGTCTACTTAAACCCCATTGGCCATTTCATTCATTCATTCCCTGTAGATAATACAGATTTAAATCATTTAGGACCAGGGGAGAGAAATGGGGTTAAATGTCCACTCCAACACAAACCAGTTAATTTTGGTACAAATACATGGTGTACATGTACAATTGTTTTTTTTCAATCAATAATTTGCTTGCATGAAAATTAAGCCCTTACTTAGTTACAACTTACATACAAATATTACAAGTGTGGACTGGTAACCATGTCACTTGAGTCGATGACAAACCTTATATATATGATCGAAAACAGTACTGTTTTGATTATACTTTACCTGCTGGTCTTGCATCTCATTATGAAGTAAATCTGATCAGTTTCATTTGGCTCTCATTCTCAAGGTGATCCAATTCGCTAGATTTTTCGATAGTTGCTCTTTGGGAATTGTTGACAAGTATTTAAGACAGACTACTTCCCTGCTGATGAAAATATATAAGAGAGTGGTGTGTGTGTGTGTTGGGGGGGGGGGGGGCGGGGCGGGCACTCCTGTGTCTAAAAATATATTGATTTGAATGGTATCGAATTTTGGAATAGCATTCGAGGTACAGTATGACTTACAATATTTGAATAGTGGGCTAAAATAACCAATGGATTGGATGCAATCTATTCATATTGGTGGTGGGTATAATAAACTTTGAGTTTGTCTTGGTCATGTCTGAAATTGAATTTACACTTTTCTGAAACAAAACTCATCACTCCTGCATGTAGCATAACTTTGTATAATCTCGTAATTATCGGCAAAAGTTCTCGTTTGATCTACTTATGTATGCATTGTTTAGACATGTTAAATGAATTGAAGAATACAATTGAACTTACATGATTTGGGGAATATTGGTCTGAAATTATCTGTATTGTTTATAGATTAGCAAGACAAAAATACCTATCAAAGTTCAACAATTTCTAATAAGTACCTACTGAGTTATGACCCTTATTTACCTACTAAAGAATACAAATTTGATAGCCTTTATATACCGCCGAGTGTGTTGTGTAAATTCTGTTTGCATGCTTCTTTTCTATCTGAATCGTCACTGATATATTTTATAGTCTTAAATTTCCCAGAAACGTAACTTGAGGACCGAATCTTACTTTCAGGATATTTGTCAACATCAGCTAGTGTATTATCAAATGATAATAAAGATTTTAAACCAAACCCAGTATTTATCAATAGAAACCCAAGGTAATTATATATATAAACTGTATTTTTATTTGCCCAATTTTATTGTGAAGGACATTAATACATCTTACATAATTGTTGTAAACTCTTTGTAGATTCATCATAACTTTTAGTATTTAATGTCCACTTCCAACGATGGTGATATCACAGACAAGTTGTATTTTTTATACACCCACATTTTCATGTGGACGTATTATGCAGTCGCCCCAGTCCGTCCGGACGTCCGTCCGTCCGTCCACAATTGTTTGTGGACTCTCTACAGGTCACAATTCTTATCCGATTTCGACGAAACTTGAAATATAGGTTTATCCCCAAAAGATCTCGGCTGCTTTCGATATTGGCATGTATCGGATCGAAACTTCATGGATTATGGCCCCTGTTTGTACGAAAAATCACGTTTTTAGCTTGTGGACCCTATAGAGGTCACAATTTTTATCCGATTTTGTTGAAACTTGAAATGTAAGTTTATAACCCAAAGATCTCAGTTCCTTTCGATATTTGCGCATATCGGACAGTAACTTCCTGAATTATGGCCCCTGATTGTACGAAAAATCATGTTTTTAGCTTGTGGACCCTATAGAAGTCATAATTTTTATCCGATTTAAAAAACCATTCTATTATATCACCGTTACACCCTAAGGATGATTGAGTTCGAATTTCGTGAAAATCGGCCCAAAATTGACAGACAAAATGGCCGCCATTCGTTCCCAAATAGCGTAAGAATATGGTATATCAAGGTTGTGGACCCTTTAGGGGTCACAATTTTTATCTGATTTTGTTGAAACTTGAAATGTAAGTTTATAACCCAAAGATCTTGGTTCCTTTCGATATTCGTGCATATCGGACCGTAACTTCCTGAATTATGACCCCTGATTGTACAAAAAATCACGTTTTTAGCTTGTGGACCCTATAGAAGTCATAATTTTTACCCGATTTAAAAAAACGTATTATTATATCACCGTTACATCCTAGGGACGACTGAATTCGAATTTTGTGAAAATCGGCCCAGAATTGACAGACAAAATGGCCGTCGTTCGTTCTCAAATAGCGTAAGAAAATGGTATATCAAGGTTGTGGACCCTATAGAGGTCACAATTTTTATCCGATTTTGTTGAAACTTGAAATATAAGTTTATAACCCAAAGATCTTGGTTCCTTTCGATATTCGCACATATCGGACCGTAACTTCCTGAATTATGGCCCCTGATTGTACGAAAAATTGCGTTTTTAGCTTGTGGATCCTATAAAGGTCATAATTTTTATCCGATTTAAAAAAACGTATTATTATATCACCGTTACACCCTGAGGACGATTGAGTTCGAATTTCGTGAAAATCGGCCCAAAATTGACAGACAAAATGGCTGCCGTTCGTTCAGTTCCTTTCGATATATGCGCATATCGAATTGTAATTTCCTGAATTATGGGTCTTGATAGTAGGAAAAATCACTTTCTTGTTAGCTTGTTCTCTATCCATCTCTCGAAAATGTGGCGGTATCCTGCCTGGCAGCCGCTGGTTTATTATGCTTAGCGCACATGCAGGGGTCTTTCCTGTGGGAGGAAACCGGAGTACCCGGAGTAAACCCACCAGGTTGAGAGGGCACTCCTATCTTTTATCCTGTTGTTTTCTTGGTATACATGTATATTGACCTGGTTCTAAATCGTGATACGAATTGTATCGTAGAACTTGAATCGCAATATGTATTGTAACGTGTCTGCAGTGGCAATAACCAGCACTAAACCCAACACACTCTTTAGTACTCTTTATTTATAGTTTAAGTACACATATAACGTACTTCCAGTAACAATAAACTAGGTCTTAAATTAGTTATTCATACATTTTTAATCCTGATATTATAAACTCCAATTATCACAAAGTCATCTGATAATCCTGCCTAATCCAGATCCCCTCCCCTATCTTTACTGTTCTTGAACTGTTTATCTAATGATACATTACATGAAGAATTGGTGAAATGCTTTATATTACCTGGTTTATTAAATGTAAAGGTATGATATAATTATTTATTATTTGATTATTTCTAGGTGTTTAGAACAGACAGCAATAGCTCCCAAAAGACAGGGTTGGACTTTACAATACCCGACTAAAAACTATTATTATAAGTAAGTTATTGTCTGTTTTTTTTACAATAAAATATTAGAAACAAGGAAAGCATGAATTGGTGATTATTCCAATAATTGATTTTACCAGTATGATATATATGATGTATATTTGTATTTCAGATTAAAATTTGAGGTAACCCACAGGCATACTACAGCTGAAGTAGAACATAATACAGAAGTAGTAGTAGTATCAGCATCTACCAAAGAATGGGCAATTAAACAAGGCCTTTACAGGTGAAATATTGTGAAATAATGATTTTAAGCAATATTTATTGATAAATTCAGCAAGTAGTTTGTAACTGTTTAAGTGATATTATCATTTTTTTTGTTATTAACTATCTTCCTGTGTGAAAAAGAGAGAGAGAGAAAAGTTGAACAGATGACCCTACTCCTTGTCACGTATAACCGGGGAATCGAAACCATGTCAGTTGACTCAATGACAGACTTTATGATACAGTGTGCACACGCTAACCATTCGGCCATCCACCCCCCCCCCCCCTTCCTGTGTCAAGGTTCTAATAATACTAGTAATGCTACCATGTACATGTACCTTGCCTGGAAAACTATTTTTTTTTTCATTTTTTATTACAGCACATTAGATATATCAGCAGCAAAGAATATTGGTCGAATATTGGCTGATAGATGTCTTCAGGCGGGTATTACTCGAGTTTTTTATGATGAAAAGTCTGAAGATATAAATTCAGAGAAGGTAGGGGTCAGAGATGTTCAACTAGATAACATTTGAAATAGCCATTTGATATCACTATTTGTCTGGGATTTTTTTTTGTTTTTGTTTTTTTTTTTATTTTATACCACACACTATAATGCGGTCATATATTATCATCACTCCATCTGCCTTTTGTTCACATTTCTTGTTCACTATCTATAATCTATTGAAATTACGATAGGTTGTCTATCACATTCATCATTCAATGATTTTCGATAACTTCTGGAGTCATACCCCTAATTAGCACCCATAGAGTCTAGAATTATAATTCGATCTTACTAAAAATTTATATTGGTGGTCTATACTCTCTACCTTTGAAAGGTAGAACCCTATTAATTATCTATAATAATCCCTATAGTTATTCCCCTTTGTTACAAACTCTTGTTAGCCTCTCACTCTAGTGGGTTCAATTATTATCCAATTTTTTAAGGAATTTGAATCAGTTGTTTAATATCAGCAAGTGATATGATGTTTATGATATATTACCCCTAAATTATATATTATAGACACACCTGTGTGTGATAATGAAAAAGGGTAGTTAAAAGGGTAGTTGTCTATACTAAACTAACATGTCTTGTAGGTGTTTGTTTATCTACTGATTATACCAGTAACCCTAGTAACTACTGAATATACCAGTTACCCTAGTAACTACCTATTTCTAAACCAGTCTACAAACTTGTTCTCACTTTCAATTCTGAGAAAAGTTAATTCCAATTGGTTGTTTTACAGATGCAAGTATTTCTAAAGGCTTTACGAGATGGACAGTTAGTACTGGAAGAACTAGACTATGTAGCTCCAGCATTCAAGCCAGGAATAGATTATAGAAAGCCTAATCGTGTTGGCGAGAAGAAAAAATGGCAGGATGATTATCAAATAGAATAAAATATATGTGATTATTTAATGTGTGAAATTTTTTTTTTTTTCATTTGTAATTTAGCAAAACAAATTATATATTTACTGACTAGTTGACGAGTTGTTGATCTTATGAAAAATATAAAGAAAAATAAAACCTTAACCAAAATACAAATGAAATGAAATGGGGTTTAACGTCCTACTGTTCTGCTCCAAACTGGGCTAATAAAGACGGGCATACCCCATACAGTGTGCTATGAGGGAAATTTTTGCCCGGGCATCGGCACTATTGCCTACTCTTATATCGAATTCTAACTGCCAAGGGATCTTTTACGTGCATTCCAATGTATACACGGGACCTTGTTTTTTTTGTTTCATCCGAAGGACTAGACAGCTGTCCTTGTCAGGCCCTCCGTTCTGCACCACTGACAAGGGGAAACCACGTCGGAAAATCCTGATGAACTTTCTGGGCCAATGCAGGGATCGAACACCCAACCTCCAGACTAGCGAGCCAGCGTCTTAACCACCTAGCCGCGGTGGCTCCCCTAACCAAAATACAGAAACCCACACTGTTTTATAAGATGTCTGTTTTGATAAATAAGTATTCTAAATTCATTAAATCACTCCTTAATGCAATTATTTATTAAGCCCACAAATATACCTGTCTCTATGAAGACTATGTGGCCTTCAAGATTAGATAGTTTATCAAATATAGAATATTATTAAGTTGCAGGAGTAAAGAATACATTTCATTTCATATTAAAACTCATAAAGATTGTATAGACATTTAGTTTTGTAGAAAGCATTTAACTTAATAAATTGTTCACTGGAAAATAATTGTTAATTTTTATTTCATTTGATATATATAGGCCTACATAGTATGGGAAAATATATGTCATCAGTAGCAGGTCAGACTTATTGATTCAGTGGGGTTTAAAGCAGTGGTTCTCAACCTTGTTTTGCCAACGGCACACCTTGGAACACATGAAACAATAACAGCACACCTGGCTAAATATAATATATGAAAACTATTTGAATTTTGCAAAATAAAACATGATAAGTCAGACGGAATACACCCGTAGACAGACTAGTCATAGACACAGCCATGAACTTATCATTAGACACCAGTGAATACTCAATTGGGATCACGTGATCTTTTACGTTTTGTTAGTGTACCTTTCAAAATTTCTCGGCACACTGATTGAGAATCACTGGTTAAAAGTATGCTTACACATAGGATGATAAGCAGAGAAAGGTGATTTTTCTCTGTTGAATATAATTTTACCTTTTAACAAATTACAAATCCGGAAATTATCAAAAAACTTGTACGAATTGTTCTGGTGCTGCTTCAACACATATTATGCATTTGTTTAAACTGTTGGAAATATACATTGCATGCACATCTATTACTCCTATATGTTTTGTTTTTTTTCATTTTGGAGAATTCATTCTGAGATTCTGAATATTTGAAAAATGACTTCTATCAGTATGGGTATTTCAGTGCACACCAGTATGATTTACTAACAGTTAGCAGGTTGAGTGCCCCCCCCCCCCCAAGAATTGTAGGCCCCTCCCCCACACACAAGATGCGTTATGGCCGGCATATTAAAATTACTCCCGGTTTTGATTCCTGGGCATGCCTCATAAATTCTTTAAGATGTCTTTTTGTATACAACTATTTTTCCGCATATTCCATAAACGAATCGAGATATCTTTATGAAACTTTGTACATAGAGGTCTGGCTGAAAAGTTCTAAGCCTATCTGTTAAAGACTGGTACAAAGTCGATGGTACACGCTTTTGCCAACGATGTTGTAAGGCCAGTATGCCGGTCCGAAAGACATTTTCTTCGGCCACTGTAAAAAAAAAATGTCATTCACAGCTGACATGACATCATCCATACTAGGAAAATGACGACCGCCTAGTTCTTTTTTGGAAACAGGCCTCATCCATTGTTACAATCTGGCGCAGATTGTCACGGAACGTCAGGATTCTGACACGTTTCTGATCCGCAGTCTAGAGCCTTGGCACCCATCTTGCAAAAACTTTTGTCATTTCTAATTCCTTGGCAATAATATGCTCAACCTTCCAATGAGAAATGCCCACATGTCATGCACCCGGGTAATGTTTTATGGATAGTTGCTGTTGATGGCTCTCTCTACCACACTTAAATTCCGCAGCCCACTTCTTTACTGTGGAAAAGGAATGGGCGTCATTCCCTAAAGTGGGGACCATGTCGGCATGTTGGTGACAAAAGTTTGTTTCATAACTGATCTATCCTTTTTATTCATAGAATTTTTCAGCCAGCCCTCGAACATCTACCTATAACACTATAGCTGTGCCTTTAGCTAATTACAAATTTATTTACAGAATGAATATGAATTTTCATTGAAAATGTGACTTAGTTTTTGATATACCTTTTATTCTGGAGCATATCTAAATAAAAATCTTTCCAAGAACTCTTTTGAAATTCGGTTTTAAACCTGGCATCATTCACATCTCTAGAACTGAGCATATAACTTTTCAGTCTTTTGATAGGTTGATAATTATTCTGTTTTCAGCCTTGCATCATTTATATATAGAACTATAAGCATATAACTTTTCAGTCTTTTGATAGTGTAATTGTAATTGGGCTCAAATAATATCAAATTAACAAGGCCTGTCTGATACAATTTGCTACACTACTACATTTGACCAAATCTAGTGTTTGATTGTTTTGATTGGTGATTAACCTAGAGATTGTCAATCCCTGCATCTTCCCAAACATTTCAAAGTACAAAGGCGTTTGATGACCGTGACCGGGTCGTCTTGTTTATTTTACTTTTAACATTTTTACTTTTTCAGAGTAAACAAGACATTTGGTACAGACTTTCATGACCTTGGGTCATAGTTTCAACACTATCAATTACTTGTATCTAACTTGATTTACACACAATCAAAGATTTAATTTAATATTTTGTTGACCGGGGGGAATATAATTATTGACCATTACTCCGATTCAATAATTTTATGGGGGGTTTCTTTTTTGTTGATTTCACCGGGTTTATTTTATCTTACTTTTTACCCCGAAGGCATGCAATCGACCTTTAAAAACAGCGACCACCGCAGAAATTTCAAATCTGACAAGGAAGAATTGTAGTAAGCATTCAAAATTAGTAATGGGTCTGCTTCAAGTGTTGGTTATATGGCTTTTTATGAAGGTTGTTTTTGGTCGAGTTGAATTTTATTCCGACACTAAAAGGGCAGTAGAAAAAGACTTTTATAATGGTGAAGAATCGTGTTATATACATGGTGACAGGTATAGTATATACGCCATAACCTTTCTATGATTATGCTATGTAGATGAGAAGTTTGTTTCTCATGGTGTTGATAACACATGTCTAAGCTTTTAATCACATTGTTCAATGTATATTTTGTTAAGTGAAAGCAGTATACATGTACATATATATATAAACTTCTACTTGGAACGTTAACTTTTCTTTCCTTTTTTTATTCAAGTACATGTACACATATTATTGATAAAACAATTTACATCGCCAGAAGCCTATATAATATATACTAATTTTCATTATTAATCATTTTAACAAAAATAAAGTCTGAAATTCGTTCTTTAATAGTAATATATTGGATACGTGAATTTGTTTTATCACGCTTTACTTTTAGGTCGTATCTTTTGGAAATATTTCTGAATAAAGACATTGATGTTAAGATAATAGGTAGCGGTGAAATGGAATCAATCCTACACGCTTGTCATTTGCAAAATATGAACACATCTGCTGAAAGTCATGCACAGGCCGTTATTAGAAAGAAAAGAGCCTTTACTTTTCCAGGTAAGAAAATTCAGTTAAAAGTTTTACATAACATTTTTATTAAACATTTCTTTTAAACTGTTTACTGGTTTATAAATCGAATGGGGCTCAACGCCCTTCTTTTCTGCACGAACCCGTTTGATGAAGATGGGCATACGACATGCAGGTTGCCATGGGGAATATTTTGCCCGGTCTTTTGAACGCCCCACAGGTCAGAGTTCTTTTCAAATTTGCATGATTTGTTCACCGGTAATAAAGAAATGAAACGAGTGGTAACGTCTGGGTCATTACTGGGAATTAGGTTTTCGCCCACATTTTTATGCTTCTTCAAAATATAAAACTATTAGGATTGTCACATTTAAATGAGGTAAACATGAATCAATAGGTATATAGCATAGTATGGTTAAAAATTATATAATAAATTAGGTAAACCAGTTGGTTTCTGGGAAACGTTTAAGCGATTTTGAACTAGTTTTGCAGTAACAGTTCTATCCCTAGCTATCAGTAGAAACATTCTTGTCATGGGAGCAAATTAAAGCTTTATCACAGTCTTCAACCCATCAAAAACTAGACCTAATTTGAGCAACATTGGCATGTGATTGCAAAATACTTTCAAGTTTTGATTGAAAGTAAATTAAACGAGACTCTGCAGTTTGACAGTTTTTGCGTTCTAGAGATTTTCAATAAAAAAATAATTTTATTGTTTTTAGCTTTAAACGTACAATAATAGATTGTCAGGCGATGCTGGCATGGACGATTCCACCCCCATTCCCAACACCCCGCCATTGAGGTAGTCAGCATCTATTTGATATTGTCTCCACGCCATTGTTAACATATCGATAGCTTCTGTTAACGGGAGCTACGGTGGCCCAGTGAGTAGGAGGTTGGCCATCTAACCAGGATATCATGGGCTTGATCCCTGCATTGGCCGTGAAAGTTCATCGGGATTTTCTGACGTGGTTCCCCTTTGTCAGTGATGCCGGACGGAAGGCTTAGCAAGGGGCAACGTATAGTCGTTCGGGTGGAACGAAAAACAGAGGTCCCGTGTAAACATTGGAGTGCACGTAAAGGATTCTGAAGTTTGAATTTGAAATAAGAGTAGGCCATAGTGCCGCTGTCCGTGCAAAATTTTCATCATAGCACACTGTATGCCCGTCTTCATTAGAACAGTGGGACGTTAAACCCATTTCATTTCATTTCATATATTATGTTAATATTAATGTCTTTATGAACAATAGCATTTATTTCTCTTTGCATTGCAGGAACTAAATGGTGTGGTGCTGGTTCGACTGCTACTAATTATGATGACCTTGGTGAACATGTGGAGACTGATAAATGCTGCAGAGAACACGACCATTGTCAGATCTCCATCCCTCCATTGACGAGGAAATATGGCTTATATAACACTGCATTTTGGTACTCGTATGTAGAATAACCTGTGCATAACATGCAGGGTATTTTTTTTACAATCTTAATATGCAATTTCTGTTAAAGGTTGGCATAAAGATCAAAATACTAACCATAATCATGATAATATTCGTCTTATTATTTACATGTAGGTCTGGAATTCCAACAATGTGTCTACTCATAACTTAAAGTTACAATTTCTTATTTTCTAAAAAAGTCAAAACATAATTATTTCTATGTCTTTTGCTCAATAGGTTGTCAACTCACTATTATACGATCATAAGTTATCTTTCTCACACTTAAAAATCTCCACACCGGAAATAATAAGACAATTACCTCCCTTGTTTTCCTATTCCCCACCATGGAATAGCTATCTTCAAACGTTTGAATTTGAAGTTGAAAATGATATTTTTGCGAATTTCTCAACTGGCAATAGTGAATTATAGGATTATTCTGTAACAAGGTATGACTGTTTATAGATACCATCTATTTTAAGGCTTTATTTTAATACATATTAAAAATATAACATAAAACTATGAAATTATAACTCATATCATTTAATACCCAATAATACTGAAAATATATTGTCCTTGTTATCTAATATTCGACTTCCTTTGATTTTAGGAATCATTGTTCTTGCGATGATACGATGTACGATTGTTTAAAAAATGCAAACGAGGAATCGGCAGCCAGTGTGGGGAAAATGTATTTTAATGTACTGGGAATTGATTGTATTGAAGAAACTGGTGAAACCTTCCAGAAATGTGTCCAAGGGTAACTATACACAATCATACACTGAGTTTAATTTACTATTAGCAAATAAATGAATGTCAACACGCATATCCGAAACTATCAATAAGACGATCTTCTGGCGATGAAACGGTCCTTGAAATTAAATGAGGCGGGTCTTGCGATTTTGAGCGGTAATATCAGGAAAAACTACGTGAGTTGGTAGTAAATTAAAGTATACCCCACCTGTTTTAAGTTACATGTATATTCCTGCATTGTATATATGTAGCTAAAACTCCGTCTTTGAAACGGTCAATGATATAAACTTCAAAACTTCGACCGAAATAAAGTATTTAATTTGGTTGAACTAATGTACATGTAGTATATCTATTTATTATGAGACAAAGGATTACATTTCAATTACTAATTTTAATCTCATGTAATTGGATAAACTATTGACGTAAATCTGAACGGAAGAACAGATCGCGACAGATCGTGTCATCTGAAATTGACCAGTCGTGACCATATCGCATCCAAGCGTACCAAATCGTACCAAAAAGTATCGACTCGCATCACCTCGTATCCAAACGTAAAAACAATTCCACGATGGCTAATCGTGGGAACCTAGCATAAAATCTAATTTTACGTTTGACCTTGATCGAAGAGGTATTGCGATTTAAGTTTGGTCATTATGTGTGGCTTAATGCTCGAGAGCGAGACCTTAAGTAATATATTGATACTACACGAGAGAGAGAGAGAGAGGGAGAGAGAGAGAGAAATGGGGTTTAACGTCCACTCGACACAAACTAGGTCATTTCGGGACTAACATATGGTTTAATTTTATTTAAATAATTCGCTTGCGCGTATAGGTCTTTAGCAGTGGGAGGAAACCGGAGGACCCGGAGAAAAACCACGAGGTTGGACAGGCGACCCTACTCCTTGTCACGTACAACCGGGGATTCGAAACCACGCCACTTGACTCAATGACAGGCCTTATGATACAGCACGCACGTGGTAACCATTCGGCCATCAAACCCCCCTTTGCATCAAAATATTATGCAATATCTTAAGCTCGAGACCACACAGGCACTATCCTGCATGTGCTTTTCAATGAAATACCACGTGGGACCAATATTTCATCTAGTATAAATAATGTACGATGGCAAGTTTCCCGTACATTATTGGAAATAATGGTACGCCAACGTCAACGGTTGACGTGACATCCGTGTTTTAAACACTGATAGGGCAATATCGTTAGCACTGGCAAATTGGTGATCTTGCCAAAATTATTAAAATGACTATATCATATCGCCTACGATCATCTGAATTTTGTACTTTCGTTTTCTGCAGAGGGTGGTGGTGGCGCAAATGTGACAAGTATGAAACTGTGGTTCAAATGAGATGGAGGGATCCTACAGAGTTTTAAAATCACACAGCAAAGCGAGAATACCATATAATCATATAATATACACATGGAACAGCCATAATTTTTTATAATACATGTACTTATGTAAATTTATTACATTGAGATAATAATATAATGTTTAAAATGTTTTTAATGAATGATTCGTTGACCAATTATATTAATATTAGACTTATTATTCTTTATCCATGTACATAAGGCCTGTTCATTGTCTACAAACCTGTTGTAGAGTTTACAGTTAACTACGTCAATGGCCCAGACTGCCGGGTGTGGGGAATTCCAAATGTTCAGGCTGTAGGTCTCATGCTAACTCAATTTGTGGCGGATTTCACCACCCCATCTTTAAAAAGTTGGTTAATTTGCCATAATTATGGCATATCATGCAATTTGGTAATGTTCGTTACAATTTCATTTATCCAATAAATGCCATTTTCTGGTCGTCGTTGTTTGTGTTTTATACAGGAGAGCCGAAAAACTCCCCTTAATCAACAAATGGAAAAAATCGCTCCCCTAAAAAAGCTCTCCCAGTTTAGATAAGAAAAGTGATTTAGAAATTAAGGAGAGTGGACTGATATTAAGGAGAGTGATTAGTTGTGTGCGTGGGAAATGGTTCTGAATATCAATAACTGCATGTTACAGGATCATTCCTGGTTTCATAAATCGTAATAAACCTTCCATGATTTTTAAGGGGATGGAGAAAAATCCCCTTGGTTGACATTCAGGTGAGCGACAGGCGCTCGAGAGCGATCGCTCGCCTTAAAAAGCTGCTTTATTATTTCCCCAATCAATCAAACAGAGCTGTATTTATTCCCTTGTTAACGAATAATATTGTCATGTTGGCCTGTTTGTTCATCAGCTAACGTTTCATTTTGGTACGTTTGGCGCTATACAGTTTTTTTCTCTGTTACGGCTATTTTCAAGCCGGCATTTTACGAATTCAGAAACGAAATAATAATGACCATATCGAAACATTTATTGAGCATATATTGCATGATTTGTGTTCAGTGTTTTCATTAGTGAGATGTAGAATCATATTGAATTTCATTGATTTCTGATAATAATCTCCAGTGTTAAAGAAAGTGACAGGAAGAATCCTATTGGGGCACGACAGTTATCACCGTATCTGCAATTTAAAAACATTATTCATATTTTTGGGACGCAGAAGCCTCCAATGTCACCAATTTTCGTTATAGCGCTTGCCCAATTTATCATCCAATCGGCTTGAAATTTATATGGATTGTTTAGATTATCATATTTTTGTTAACTGCATCTAATAGATGTGGTCCTTGTAAATGATTTAACAACTAACGTTATCATCTGAGTTGATGTTCTTGTTTCAATTATTGCGATCAATAACAATTGCAATACATTCTGACAGTTACTTCTAGTGGCCACTGGTTTTCGTCCCACCCGAACGACTGGACACTGCCCTCCGTCCTGCACCACTGACAAGGGGAAACCACGCCGGAAAAACAAACCTCTTACTCACTGAATCACCGCGACGCGTTATTTACATACATAATAAATAGAGTTGTTGTTGCTGTTTTATACTTAATTGCACTAACATTCGCTTTTTGCTCTTAAAGGGTGGTACTTGGATTCGCGTTTCTTCCTTATTTCGGTGCGTGAGTAGGTGGTGGGGTATTTTTCCATGTTCACTGGAGTACTGATTAAAATTGGAGCCGAAACTGTTAAACAACTATTAAACAATGTATAGTGCGTGCCCCGTTTCACCTTTATGCGGTACGTTACAGTGTTACATACATTATTGAAATAAAGTCAGAGGCGTGTTCAGGAATTTGAATGGGGTGGGGGGAGACAATGTCAAAATTGACGCGAGGTCTTGGGGGCTACCCAAGATTATTTTTTAAAATCAGAAGCTCTGATACAATATTTATATTCATTTAGGTGCATAGTATAGGATTAGGGTGTACTGAGGTCAAAACGGCGGCAATTCTCCGTACGTCTGTTTGTTCGACATTAAATAAGATCAAGAACTAAAATCCTATATAACAATACAAGAAGAATATTACAATAAAGGAGAACATTACATGTAATATACTATTCAAAAAAAGTAGGGGATATTTGATTTTGGGGGCATAATACTAAAATATGCAAATGACTACGAAAAAAGTCACTATAGAACCTAACAGAAGAAACATTTCCAGTTACATGTGACGCCCAAACGCACCAATAGCTACCGCATGGAATGCAGGTGATGCTTGGGATCATCATGGGGGTCCAACCCAAGATTTGCACGACTCTGACTTTGAATGTTACAGTCATTGTGGCATTGAATTCCAGGGTGGAAACATCAGTTTAATTGTTTTAGTGACCAGAAAACAAATTTTGATATGCGTCGGCTTACCCAAAATGAAAGGTTACGTGCCCTTGGCATGCTACAGATCGGCACAACACAGGCGGTTGTGGCGCGGACGATGAATGTTTCTCAGTCTGTCATAAGCAGGCTATGGTCCAGATACCGTGATACACAATCTGTACAGGACAGACCACGCTCAGGTCGACCAAGGGCGACAACTCAAGCCCAGGATCGATTTATCCGTACCTTGGCCTTGAGAAATCGTGTCATCACAGCAAATCAGATCAGCGCTCGTCTTCAAACAGACACTGGTGTGAGAGTGAGTGGCCAGACGATTCGGAATCGACTGCATAGGGGTCACCTACGCGCCCGACGTCCTCGCGTGATCCCTTGTTTGAGAGATCATCACATTCAGGCAAGACGTCGTTGGTGTAGGGATCGTCAACACTGGGATAATCGACGCTGGAGCAATGTGATGTTTTCAGATGAGTCAAGGTTCACTGTTGATTTTTTGGACAGACGTAGGAGGGTGTGGCGTCGTCGAAACTAGCGCTTCCAAGACGTTAACGTCATCAGACATGATCGATTTGGGGGTGGTTCTGTTATGGTGTGGGGAGGCATCACTGTTGCTGGAAGAACGGCTTTACATGTTGTTGCAGGGCGTGTTACAGGCCAGTACTACCGGGACAACATCTTGGCAGTCCATGTTGTGCCGTTCGCACGACGTCATGGCCGCCGTTTCATCTTCCAGGATGACAACGCAAGATGTCACAGGGCCAGGATCGTTACAGGTTACCTCCAACAACAGAACATCACCACATTACCTTGGCCAGCACTGAGTCCCGACCTCTCCCCCATCGAGCATGTCTGGGACATGCTTGGACAGAGGTTACGTCAACGTCAACAACGTCCTGCCAATGTCCAAGAACTTGCTGCTGCGTTGCAACAGGAATGGGACAATCTGGACCAAAATGGCCGTAGACGTCTCATTAGGAGTATGCCACGTCGGATCAATGCTTGTTTGGCAAACAGAGGAGGATTTACCCGTTACTGACTGTGATGCTGTGGTAACTTTGCTGTTTGACCCCGGGTATCATTTTACCCTTATAATGGTCAGTCTGTGCCTTACTTAGTCTAACGATCATTTGGAATAAATCGATGAATGTGAACTTCATTTCATTTTGTCATTTGTTTCTTCGTCAGTTTCATTAGGCGACTTTAATAACACTTAAAAATCAAATATCCCCTACTTTTTTTGAATAGTATATATTATACTGAATGGATGAAATGGGTTTAATCCATCTACTTTTCTGCACCAACCGGGTAAGTGAAGACGGACATGAGCCCTACAGTGTGCTATACTTTGAGGGAAATTGCTCCCGGGCAGCAACTGCCAAGAGTTCTTTTACGCAAATGTGTACTGGATCCCGGTTTTTTGTCCCTTCCGAATTACGAGATTGATTTAGAATCTGTAAGCATTGCCGAATACTATTAATTTACACCTGAATCAAAATTATTTGCATATAATTGTCTTGTTTCCCGATTTCCCTTGCACATTTGCACTCACGAATATAACGATGAACGAAAATAAAACAAAACGAAATATTTATATAATCCGGGTAAGGGCTGTGGGCTATATGTTCTAGGAGTACGGTAACTAATGTTATAAAATATCTGGTATTTCCACCATGTGCACTCTTTTCAGTAGCATTAATTTGAAATACATTGAAGGCAAGGTGTGATATTCTATTATTTGTAATACCGGAGGTAAATGAAATGAAAGTTGTTAACACTGTAGGCTATACATGCGGCGTCTACAAGGTCAACAGCTGGTTGTCAATATTGTGGAGAATAACTGAAACAATTTAATTTAAATTTAATACCGGTAGAACACTTTTCAAATTTTATTATTTTTCTTCAATTTAAATACTGAAATGACTATTGGACTTGGGCTGATGCACCGAGGTTTTAAACTAAATGGACCACCAGCTTTCCATTGAATGTTTCGAAATTTATTTTCGCACGGTAACAGCCGGAGCAACCTAACACTTGCTATAAATAATGTCATTAACTTTAGTACTAGGCCTATTTATAAATCCCCTTTTATTTCTCACCTTATTTAATTAAATGTCACTGCGTTGTGTTGCATGCCGGACTATTATGTTTATTTTACTTCAACCATTTAATTGGAACAATATCAAACATATTTTAAATAGCATAGCGATCATGAAAACCTCCAGGTAAGACTTCTGTTATCATTTAAGGATATCATTTGTATTTCTTAATCACGGCATATAATAAATTAAATAAAATTAGAGAATACTTTTACATGAAACATACAAAATATTTATTATCCCGCGCCGAACGAAGTTAGGGAGGGATATTGAAACGGGGTCCGTCCGTCCGTCCGTCCGATTTCGTTTCCGGAGCATATCTCATAAACTGTTCAAGATATCTTTCTGAAACTTTGCACACATATCAACCTATTACAGTAGTTGTGCCTTTTGCTATTTAGGAATTTCTGGGATTTATATTTTTTGTGTTTCCATGGAAACAAATTTGACTTAGTTTTTGGTGTACAATTTTGTTTCCGGAGCATATCTCATAAACCGTTCAAAATATCTTCTTGGCACTTATTTTGAATTTCTCAGATTTGATAATTTTATGTGTTTCCGTACTGATTTTGTTTCTGGACAAAAATATTAACCTATTATAGTATTTTACTTTCTGATGTATAAGTTTATTGTTTAACATACAGCAGCTGATTGAGGTAGGCAAAGGTTGTTGTGCAAACCTTACAGGGAGTAGCGACCCTGCCTTGCCGAGCTACTGTGACCAGAGTATGAAATTCTGTGAATTGATATTCCATGTGTCGGAATATGAGGTTTGTCTAAAGATTTAGACGCTGGGCGCAACTGATGGTGCAACCCCGCCATGCTGAACTACTGTGCTCAGAATATATATATTCTTACTAGTTGAAACTTTGAACACACATCATCCTATTACAGTAGTTGTGCCTTTTGCTAATTAGAAATTTGTCGGATTTAATAATTTTTGCGTTGCCATGGAAAAAAAATATCTGTTGAATGATTTTTTCTACACATTTGAATTATTTTTTGGTATATATATTATTCTAGAGCATATCCAAGAAACTGTTCAAGATACCATTATAACACTTTTACATTCATCAACCTATTATTTTATTTTTTGATGATCTTCCTTCTGTCCCGATTTCATTCGTAGAGCATAATTCATTATCTGTTCAGAGAAATCTTTTTAAAACTTTATACAAACATCAAACTATTAAAGTATTTTATTTTCTGATGTATAAGCTTAATGTTTAACATACAGCAGCTGATGGAGGTAGGCATTGATATTCCAAGAAGTTGTTTTTCCTTATGCCTTCCAAACAAGTTCAAGGGCGCGGGATGGTGATGACTAGTCATCTTGTTGAAGTTGAATCAACGTTGAATCAATGCCCTTACTGTTTTGCCGGCTGTTCTTTGAAATGTATTTTCAGCAGTATGGTTCGAACTAGTGTTCGGCACGAATATTCGAATATTCGCTCGTCGAATATAATATTCGAATATTCGAATAGCAATTACCATATTCGAATATTTTCGAATATCTATTATTTATTCTATTTGCTCTCAAATATTATTAATAAAGGCCAATTCCCTTGCCACATTTACATTCAAAGCTTACTTAGCTTACCTAACCGCAGCTTGTAAGGGTGCTATCCCTACATAGATCTACCGTCTTCAGAGACAGTTATTCTGTAAGTAGCATGTTACCTACTTTGGTTAGCCAGTTAGTTCCGCGATGGAGTTAGTTGTCTTGACCATATAGGTGTATATATTGACAATATATACACCTCCATGGTCTTGACTAATATCACATCAAGGCTATTTTTTGGAACCACATGAAGTTGAAACATGGCTACGTAGCTCCAGATACTTCTCCTCTGCACGGGACGTGGGATCAGGCAAGATTCAGCCAATTAAAAAGTTCTACACAAAGTTCTTTAGGCAACTGCAAGTAAAATTCAGCGCAGCAAAAAACATCACTGAGAAACTGATCAAGTTTGTAACCAAGCATTATCAGCCCCTCTCTCTCTCTTATTGACAATGACCATTTTCGGGAAATGGTAGAAGCCCTCAATCCATCCCACAATTTGCCGTCAAGTAAAAGAATGGAAGAATGGAAGAGAATCTATGATGCCGTTCGTTCCGACGAACGTCAAATCAGGAATGACCCAAGTCAGAAGTTAGCCCTGTGACCACAGATGTATGGACATTAGATGAACAAAATGAGTCTTGCATTAATTTAACCGCTCATGTTTTATCACCAGATTGGGAGATGGTGGCTAAGACTCTGAAAATGTAATCATGTCCAGGTTGACATACTTCGGATAAACTAAAAGAGCAACTGACGGAGATGGCAGATGACTGGAGTGTGGTTGAGGTCCGCGTCTATTTGTTGCGATGCCATGGACGACCGAGGTCTTGTGTACAGATTGGCAGTTTACGTAAAAGATATACTGACAATTGCTAAAATAATATAATCTTGTGCATTGTTCACATGTCACCAGAAATTTCACGTATTTCATAATTAATTAGAAATTATAATAAATGGAATATAAACCACTTTAAATATATTTATATTAAGAATTGAAAATCTTCGAATAGTATTCGAATACTATTCGAATACAAATTTCAAGACCCGTCGAATATTCGAATAGTATTCTTGTTCGAATATCCGAACAGTAGTTCGAACGGGTCACTCTTTTAGATGGAACCTGGAGCCCAGATTTGTGTTCGGTATATAGCCAAAGTGCACCATCTTTTAGATGGAACCTGGAGCCCAGATTTGTGTTCGGTATATAGCCAAAGTGCACCAAACCAAACCAAACTGGAGTGTGGTTGAGGTCCGCGTCTATTTGTTGCGATGCCATGGACGACCGAGGTCTTGTGTACAGATTGGCAGTTTACGTAAAAGATATACTGACAATTGCTAAAATAATATAATCTTGTGCATTGTTCACATGTCACCAGAAATTTCACGTATTTCATAATTAATTAGAAATTATAATAAATGGAATATAAACCACTTTAAATATATTTATATTAAGAATTGAAAATCTTCGAATAGTATTCGAATACTATTCGAATACAAATTTCAAGACCCGTCGAATTTTCGAATAGTATTCTTGTTCGAATATCCGAACAGTAGTTCGAACGGGTCACTCTTTTAGATGGAACCTGGAGCCCAGATTTGTGTTCGGTATATAGCCAAAGTGCACCAAACCGTCTCTTTTTTCTAGTGTTCTGAGTCTGGTCTGATGAGGTTCAAATGTTAACCGGGCCAAACGACGCCACATTTCATGATATCTGCACCAGAATTTAAAAAATATATTTTCTCTGGGGAGAACACCCTCACTAGTCCCCACTACGTTAACACTCGTTCAGGCGCCACTGTTTTTAATCTGATTGGAATACTGGGGGAAGTATACCGACCCTTGCGACACACCATGGTACCCATAAACAAGGTATTAGCGACCGTCAAGTACCAATCGCCACTGTCCAGTGCCTTATCTGTTGGATGGTTACAAACGTGAATGTAAAAACATTGCCGAAACAAAAGCGTAAAGTGCCAGTAGCAATATTGTTTTTAATTTATATAGAAACCAACCCCGCCCAGTTGAATCCTACCTCACATTTATCAATAAATACAATTCTAATTCTTAAATTGGTTGGCTACCAGTAATAATGGCTGTTTACAAAAGTGACGTAATAGCAAGAAAACAACAGGGTTTATTCTGGAATATTGCAAATACCGCAGCTAGTTTCTAAATGAATATGCATATTAAAGATTTCTAAACGAAGAAACATTATTCTAAAAACTTTCATATTTCCATAGACAATTTCCTAGCCATGACTTTTTAAGGGGACTATTTCCTTCATTTTCGATATCAGACTGTTTAAAAATTTCATAAAATGCCTGATTTAAGCTACCCCTGAAAATCGCAGTGTGCGTACATATTTAAAATTTGAAAAATAAGAGTTGAAAGTGTTTCATTAAATGCATATACATGAGGACATTGATGGAAATTTGAAAGGGGTTATTTTTAATTTAACAAGCCAACATCAAGGCGAGTGTCGATCCCAAAATAAATAGATGACATATTATTAATTAATTACACACTTTCTGTATCGCTCATTCAAATTTAGCCTGAGCAGAAAATGCTCATGATTAAACTTATTGTTAATGTACGAGGGCTGGTTGGAAAGTTCTAAGCCTGGACAGGATAGATCAACTGGGTTAAAATCACCAGAAATTGAATAACTGGCCACAGTGCAGTCATCAAGTACCCGCAATTTAAAGGATTAACCTCAACACAAATACATGCCAACATGGTCCCCACTTTAGGGAATGATTCCCGTTCCTTTTCCACAGACAAGAAGTGGACTGCATAACTTGGGCGTGGTAATCAATAGCAACAATTTAGGAAAACATTACCCGTGTAAATGGCATGGTGATGCCTGATCGACGGTTGACCACCCGACATATTGCTGCAGTGTTGTGGGTATCTCTCATGTGAGGATTGAGCAAATTATCCCTAACAAGTTAGGAATGACAAAAGACTCTGCAAGATGAGTACCAAAGCTCTTGACTGCAGAACAGAAACATGTCAGATTCCTGGCATCCCAGGACAATCTGCGCCGTTTTGAAACAGATCCCAATAATTTTTTTAGTCAGATGAGACCCGTTTCCAACATTGAAACAGGAACTAGCCGGTCGTCATTAAATTTTCCTACCAATGATGACGTCATGTTAGCTGTGAACGACTTTTTTTTTTACAGTGGATGAAGAAAATTTCTTCCTGACCGGCACCCAAACCTCGCGAGAGTGTGTACACCTTGAAGTGGACTATGTAGAAAAATAATTGGAAACCATCGTCTTTGTACAGGTCTTAAGCAGATATGCCAAGAACTTTTCAGCCAGACCTCGTAGTAAAACAATACTCTCACTCAATTAGAATCAAAGTTATCGTTCCCCAAAGTCTTATCAGTCACGTTATTGGGTGCCATGAAACTATTATCGAGTTTCGCCACTCTAGCCCAGTCATGGCTAAGTGGTTAAGACGCTGGCTCGGTAGCCTGTATACGTTGTGGGTTCGCTCTCGGTGTTGGCTGAGAAAGTTCATCGAGATTTTCCGGCGTGGTTTACTCTTATCAGTGCTGCAGGATGGTGGACCTGACAAGGACAACTGTCTAGTCGTTGTTGGGACGATATACTGCAGTCCCATATACACATTGGCGTGCACGTAAAAGATCCCCTGGCAGTTTGAATTTGATATAAGAGTTGGAGGACGTTAAACCCCGTTTCATTTCATTTCATTTCCCATCCAATCAGAATCAAAGTTATCTTGTTCTAAAGTCTCAAACAATCAAACTGCTCATCCTAGTTTGGTCATCTTTCATCTGGTGATCTGACGCAAGTTCGGAATAACGAATTGATCATCATTCGCGGCCATTTAAGCTAAAAAGTGTGGTGAAGTTGCCTGATTTCAAATTCCGATTAACCATGTACAGCTAACGCTAATTTAGTTAAACCAAACGTAATATACTGATATGAAAGATGGAATCTGTTCAAACTAATGCTCGCATCGTGAATTACTCATGATTGACGATGTGCCGGGTATCTTGTGGGGATGTCATACTTCAGCCGATACAAGTGGCCAAAGATTGTCAAATTTTGCCGGTAAACATGGCTTTTGGGTGTTTTACTAAAACTAAAGTGACAGCTTTAGAACAGTCATAAGAAAAGAGAAGGAGAAGTAATAACTGACTAATCTGTCTGATTCATTGGCATCACAAATCCAGGAACAAAGCTCCTGGTGTTGGCAGTTATATAGTGACGTATTGTGTAGTAATATCGTCGTTGCGACATTGTTTTTAAATTCATAGACAAGGAATAGAGATATAAGATGGTTTAAACAATATTTTTATCTTAACAAATTATTATCTATTGTCAGTATATTAGCTATGGTATGAGTTTATCTAAAACGCAAATTAATTGTTTATGAATAGTGTGAGAATAACCGGAAAAAGGGTCTAAGTTCAAGGATAGATTGTGTCAAAAAATATGTGACTGGAAATTTACCTATTGCGTCATTTGGTTTAGTTTGATATTTACATCATATTTGACAAATTAGATAATTGAACGTCCAAAGCCCAAAGATACAAAACTATCATATTGGGGGGGGGGGGCGTTTGTCAGACAAGAGATAGATTCTGGAAGGGAAAAGATGTAGCCGTTTTTATCAGCAGACTCGACCAGTGTGTCTGGCTAGTGTATGAGAATGACTTTATTCTATTATGCATTGTAACATATGTAAGCAGCTATATGATATATAAAATGTAAAAACGAACTGTTGCATTGTTATTCCTGGTAAGACAAACGTCTTAAGAAAACAGTAAGAAGTAAATACACAACGTGAAGCAGAAGCAAAGACAGCTAGAGACAAATTCTAGACGATCACAAGGCTACTAAGATATGTAGTAAGAAAAGATGCATGGGTCGTACGTAGGATGTGGCGACCGGTTAGGGTCACCCGCTCTCCACGTCTGACAGAAGACCCATGGTGCTACAATTGTTAGTAATGCCTTTACTGCAGGCCCGGATGTAAGGATGGCAGGGTGGGCGGAGTCTGGTCAGGCTGCAGCTTTGGGTCCCAAAATTAGTTCTAAAAAATAATTTATGAATTTATTTATTATGTTTGTGCTATACAATGACTAGAATATGAGCCTTTTCACTGGTGATGCATGGGGCCACTGGCTGAAAATCTAAATGTTAATATTTTGTATTATATTACAGATGGATATCAGTATATTGCTTACTGATTATATCCCAACTTAATCTGGTCAATGGGTTCTCATCTCTCGCTTTTATTAGAGATTTAGTAGAAGCAGAAGACGATGTCATAGAGTTTTTGAAAGAATACTGCGACTCTTTACAGAAAATCATAGACAAATTACCAAAGTAGGTATCAAGACAGTATAATAATCCAAATTAATATACGTCACTTTGTATATATTACTGTGACACGATGCATTCAAATTAATCGTTAAATTATGTATTTATATTTTACACACTTAAAGATGCAGAATGAAATCAATAAAAACAAATGTAAACTTTGGGTGCCTATAAATTAGAATAAGTTGACTTAGAAGAAACTGTTTTTTTTTTTTAAAATAAAATTAAAAGTGTTTTGTTGTATTGTCTTAAAATCTGTATTCAGGCTATATTCTGTCAATAGTGGCTTTAATGAAACTGTGTCTTATCAATTTCATTTATCTATTTTGTTTAAATATGATCACTAGATTTGTGTATATTTTTGTACAAGAAAGTATACATTTTTGTGTTTAAAGAACAGAAGATGCTCAGTATGAAAAAAGATTTCTGGAGGGCAAGAAAGACTGGATATTTGAGTAAGTACAAATTTGCATCAATTTTTCTAGTAATATTGGTCTAAATGCACAGAACACCAACCGACACACTTGAAATTTTTAATAGATGTGGATTATTAATTTATTACTCCAAACAGGATCCAAAGAAAGAAAACAGAAACGTCGCAACATAAAGAAGAAACGTTGGCGAGTATTTTACATCCCACAGGGGCAGTAGGTGTCGTGACATCATTTGCGGCTGGTATTAAAGAATTAAAGAAAATACTTAATTTAAAGGGTAATGTTAACAATATATAACTCGAATATAGAAGGTAATACTGTTACTATATAAACTGAACAAATTTTGTGTGTAGTGATATATTAAATTAGTAGTAATTGGTAAGGAAGCAGTGGTTCTCAGAGATTCAGGTCCCCCCACCCCCCTACTTGCAATCTCAGGTTTCCTCAATTCCTCGCACGTTGTCATCTAGCAATGTTATTTTTTGTCAGTGCACTTTTACAGTATGAAAATTGTTTGCTTTATAATTGCAATCAAATGAATATGAAATCCTTATTTAACGCCTAAATGTGTTATTAGGAAAGCCAAAGAGTATTCTTTCAAAGTTCGGAATTTCTCCCCTGAGAAACCCCCTCCCCCTTATACAAATATAATTTTGAAATACTATCTCTAATTTCACCCAAACACCGCAATGCTTTAGAGATATAGCATCACAGTTAATATTATTTCATGTGTGATTTGGTAAATAATAAACAAGGACGTGTTATTTAAGACTAAAGATTATACAAGACACTGACCCCTTCATCTCTACGGATAGCTGTGTACTTAATTAAGACATGATAAATACAATGCCGAGTTTGGCACACACGACTGACGCCATATGGAATGATAATTACTAATACTATGTGTAACTTTGAAGCATAAGCCTAAACGATTAGAATTAGAATATGAAAAATAGAAAGTGAAATTAAAGAAACACAATAGGCCATCTACTAGAACGTATGTGAAATAAATATGCATCAGAAAACTCAATGTTCCTTCTACAATTTTTACAGATTTCGCCAATCTCACAAAGAGAATTCAAGTACAGGTGCCTACCGTGGAAGACATAAAGAAAGCGTATATTTCGTTAATTCGGTTACAAACAACATATGATATACCCACAATTGACATTTATACTGGTAATATATCTGGTCACCAAGGGAGACCACTTGGTCCACCCGAAGCCTTCACATTAGGTCGCCTCTGTGTAGAATATGGACTTTTCCATGAAGCTGTAGAATGGTTACAGACGGCTTTTATTGATAAGAGATCAAATGATACATATTTAGATGTTGATATATTTGCTTTACTGTCACAGGCATTCTACATGGTAAGTACTGTATTCCTAAAGTATAAAAAGATATAAGTTGTTGTCAATTTATTTTACATATATTCATTGACACAACTTACTGGTTGAATTCATTTTACACACAAATAAACAGACTTACATACAAATATTATTTCGAAGCATTGGTCATTGATAATAAAAATAATATGCAAATAACATTTAGATACATAAACATGTCAGCTAATTTTCATGTCTTTATCTTTTTTTATATAATAGGGTGGATACACTACTAAAGCATTGGTATATTTGGAAAAGGCTGCAAGTCTAGGTTGGTAGATATCAAATTAATGCTGCGATTTCAAATATTAAGTGTATTACAATAACGAATAGTAGTGTACTGTATAATTAAAGCTGGCCTATATAATAATGACCAGGTACCTTTTAGTGCAAACGATAAGAGGCGTATTCTTATGACAACCACCATCAACATCAAAAACGAAATGAAATGAAATGGGGTTTAACGTCCTACTGCTCTGCTCCTAACCCGGGCTAATGAAGACAGGCATAAGCCATACAGTGTGCTATGAGGGAAATTTTGCCCGGGCAGCGGCACTATCGCCTACTCTTATATCGAATTCCAACTGCCAAGGGATCTTTTACGTGCATTCAATGTATACACGGGACCTCGGTTTTTCGTCTCATCCGAAGGACTAGACAGCTGTCCTTGTCAGGCCCTCCGTTCTGCACCACTGACAAGGGGATACCACGTCGGAAAATCCAGATGAACATCAAAAACATTAGTGGTACTAAATAACTAATTCAAATTGTATCGTCTATTGTGGATTTTGTGTTTTTCTTACAATGTTTATGCAAATTACGAATGCGACCAATGTAACTGTTCCTATTTCTACAAACATCTTAATCTTTCTTTAAATCAAAATTTGAATACAATTAGCCTTAGATATTTAACTTGATAAAAAGACTGAGAATATATCAACTAAAAGTGTGGACCTCCTCTTATATTATTAATTTTCCTTTTACAGATCCTCGAAATATTAATGTATTAAAAATTATGAAGATAAGAATCACGGATGCTAATGATCTTTACACATTTTATGATCATGCCTTGAATGGTGCTGAAGATCCCACGTTTCAGAAATATAAAGAAACGTGTAAACAAGATTCTACACTAGTAAGTTACATTTCGGTAGTGTTATTGAGGTGTTTGTCTTTTGTTTGTTTTGTTTTGTATAGATACGTGTATTCATTAAATGATAAGTGGAATCGGGTGTTCTGTTTCTAGAATGAGTAGCATATCCTAAACGACAACCCGCGCTACACATCTCAGAATCAAGGCCACCAGCAGTCACCAGCGTCGTTTAAATATTAAATGAAATGAAATGAAATGGGGTTTAACGTCCTACTGTTCTGCTCCTATACTGGGCTAATGAAGATGGGCATACGCCATACAGTGTGCTATGAGGGAAATTTTGCCCGGGCAGCGGCACTATCGCCTACTCTTATATCGAATTCCAACTGCCAAGAGATCTAGACGTACATTCCAATGTATACACGGGACCTCGGTTTTTCGTCTCATCCGAAGGACTAGACAGCTGTCCTTGTCGGGCCCTCGGGAAATCCAGATGAACTTTCTCGGCTAATGCAGAGATCAAACACCCGACCTCCAGGCTAGCGAGCCAGCGTCTTAACCACCTACCCACCGTGGCTCCCGTTTAAGTTATATTATTGTATTGTGTTGATTGCTGGTAAGTTTTGCATGTCGGAATATTATTCAACGTTTCATTTTGATATTGTGACCTTTATCTTTTAGTTGATTGACCACGTAAGCAGATATAACGTATGTAGATATAAAGCGGGATTCCTTCCATATATTTTGTATAAAGAGGAGATCCTTCATTGGAGCCCGTATGTTTCAATCTTCTATGACGTTTTATCTGACGAGGAAGCTGAATTGATGAAAGCTGAAGCAAATCCAGTGGTGAGCAATTTTTTTTCTATAACAATTTTCTAATAAATATCATTAATTTTACGTATAATGTATTGGTAAAAATGTATTATGTAAAATTTAGATAAATAGTTTGTTGTTCTTGCTATAATAGTTTAAAAATAGTTTAAAATCAAATCTTTATTCTGAGCGAAGTTATGAATGTTTAAAATTTTGGCAATATATTAATATAGCAAACTGTTTCACTGCGGTAACGTGAACGCCTTCTACGGTATAAGATGACATGACCATTAAGGCCATATTCACTATACTTCTAACTTAAAATGAAAATATGACACAAAGAATTGCCTGTTCTTTGATATCGAGCTATGAATAATGGAGATATTCGTTTAAGTTTTAAATCTACTCCTGTTTCAGTTATGGCAGAGTAGAACATTGGGTGGCGAAACCCTAGATAGGACAAGCGCAAAGTAAGTCAAAATGCTATCTTTACAAGACCGATATGTATTGGTACTTTAAAGCCCCAGTGTGCCATGGGTGGTCGAGTGGTCCAATGTCTGCACTTTAGACACGACGACCTGTTACGGAGTCAAGTGATATGGTTTATATTCCAAGCTTGTAGGTTACAAGGTCTTGGGTCGTCTGCCAAACCTAGTGGGTTTTCTCCGGTTTGCCTCCACTGCTAAAGACCCATATACTCGCATGCGAATTTCTAAAATAAAACTCTCTCTCTCTCGCTCTCTCTCTCTATCTCTCTCTCTCTCCACTGACTACATTATTATTGTTGACGAGATTATCAATATTCTAGGGTAGTCAATATTTCTACTTTATTTTTCAGTACATTTTTATCCGACGATTTGCACCCATATCTTGAAAGGGTGTCCAAAAGAATCGGTGCGCTGACTGGTCTGAATACACAACAAAATCTAGAAGCAACGTCATCAGCTGAACCATTCCAGGTAAATCCTAGATCTCGGTACTATACTACGGTTATTGCCATGGTAAGCCACGGATATTATCCCCGGTACTACTACGGTATCACCACGGTTTGTTTACGATTTGCCCCGGTTTATCCCGGTCCGCCATGGACTGTAGCGCCACGGCCTTCCCAGGTGACACTACGGTATTCACGGTAGTGTCAATGACGTCCTACGGATTGCTCATGGTTTTTGCCACCGTTCGCCCCAGTAGTTTTAAACATTTCAAAACCACTGTAGCGACGTCCAATTTTATCAGTCGGTTTCGCCACTATGGGTGTGTGTATGTGTGTTTGTGTCCGGGGGGGGGGGGGGCATGGGGCGTGGTTCATTGAATAAAGTGCACGGATAATTAAAATGTAAATATAAATTGATCAAAACACATATAGTATCTATCTTATAATTGTAGTATCGTGATTATATATTATATAGGCCTATATTATTATTGTAGTGTCGTGTTTATATTATAATTTTATTACCGCGTATAGAACGTGCACACGTCATATACTATCTATAATATTATAATTTTATTACCGTATATAATATGTATACAATTGTATATAGTACCGTGTTTATATTCTATCTATATTATAATTTTATTACCGTGTATAATATGTGTACACATATTGGAGTACCGTGTTTATATACGATCTATATTATAATTTATTTTATTACCGTATATAATATGTGTACAATTGTATATAGTACCGTGTTTCTATCTATATTATAATTTTATTACCGTGTATAATATGTGTACACATATTGCAGTACCGTGTTTATATACGATCTATATTATAATTTATTTTATTACCGTATATAATATGTGTATAACATATACTTTCTATATTATAATTGTGTACAGTACCGTGTTTATATATTGTCTATATTATAATTTTAGTACCGTGTCGAATATGTGTATATTAATTAAAAAAAATAATTAGGGAACCACGGTGGCTAAGTGAGTAAGACACTGGCTTGCTAGTTTGGAGGTCGCGGGTTCGATCCCGATGTTGGCCGAGAAAGTTCATCGGGATTTTCCGGCGTGGTTTCCCCATGCCAGTGGTGCAGGACGGAGGGCCTAGTTGTCTAGGTCGTTCGGGTGGGACAGAAAACCGAGGTCCCGTGTACACATTGGCGTGCACGAAAAATATCCCTTGGCAGATGGAATTCGATATAAGAGTAGGGCGTAGCGCCGCTATCCGGGCAAAATTTCACCCATAGCACACTGTATGGCGTAGGCCCGTCTTCATTAGCCCAGTCGGGGCAGAACAGTAGGACGTTAAACCCCAGTTCATGTCATGTCATGCCATGTACATTTAATATCTATATTGGACAGGTGGTAAACTATGGAATAGGGGGTGAATATAAATCACATGTAGATTCAGATGTAAGTATAAAGGATTCTTCTTATATGAAAAATATTTTTATTTAATGTGAAAAGGCTTTATCGTCAAATTTGCAAAATTCGGATTTTTTTTTTTTTTTTTTTTTAAAAAGACCCTAGTCACACTTTGACCCCCCCCCCCCCTCAAACGATGATATTATTATGGGAATTACCCAGAGAGAATTAAGCGTGATCCTGGAATTAAAAACGTTATTTCCACCACCAAGAGTTCTTTTCATTGCACCGCAACTTGGATTATGGGACCTTAGGTTTTCGTACCAATTCGTAGGCCATCCACCCTACACGTTTATCAGAACTTTATGTTTAATATTAAAGATACATTATGGGGGATTTTTATAGAGAGTTGGCCATTCTTGCTATAACAGTTCAAAAGTAGATGATGAAAGAAGAATATATTGAAAAATTCAGTCAAATTACTTTATTCTGAACATAGTTATCATCGTTGTAATATTTGCCTAGAAATGGTAGCGAATTGTGTCTTCACCTTCGCTGATCGTTTGATTGACAGGCGTTAACTCCACCTACATATCTCGATTATCAAGTAAAGTTTTCAATGGCATACCGAAACGCTTTACAGCGGCCTCGCTAAGTACACTCTATCATTTAGCCTCGATCTAACTGACGTATTCTCATCAGGATGCGCCATATTTGAATTAATTGATAATTGAAATCCTTTTAAATCCGAGCTGTAGCCGAGCCACCCGTGGGTCTACAGAGTTGATTTTGGGCTTGTTGTTTAAATAAAGATCTAATTTATAATTTCTATAACATCTGAAGCCTAAATTAAGACTTGCAATAATCAGATTTAGCTCTTGCATAATGCATGTTTAAATAAATCACTATCATAATTCAATTGCTATTTAATTTATACATTTAGCCGTCGCTTTCTACTTTTGCTGTGGATGATCTAACAAATGCTGGTGATAGAATTGCTACATTTCTTATATATGTAAGTATACAAGCCTGTCAAGTCTCACTTACACCCTGTTATGGGTTCATTGCACACATACCGAGAAAAAAATACCAATACGCAATATACCAAGACTGTTATTCCGTATATGTCTGCTTTTACTCTGACTCTTCGAATTGCGGATCGAAGAGAGAGAGAGAGAGAGAGAGAGAGAGAGAGAGTTTAACGTCCACTCGACACAAACTATGTCATTTCGGGACTAACATATTTCCATAATTCGCTTGCCCGTAGGGGTCTTTAGCAGGGGGGGGGGGGAACCGGAGGACCCGGAGAAAACCCACGAGGTTGGACAGACAACCCTACTCCTTTTTATGATTGATTTTAGTAGCCTAGGGTGTCCTCTTTCAGAATCTGCCGGGTGAACCTCGGTCACCCTTGAGCGTTTTGAAATATTCAAGATGGCGTCCAAGACGGTCGCCACATCAAATAATCCCCTATAGCTCCCATAGTATTTATTCTAGGATGATAATTTTGGTGTCTAACCGCATGTTTCTGGGGCCAAGGAATACACTGAAATCATTTATTATGTTGTGAGGTGTACACGGGACCTCGGTTTTTCGACCCATTCGAACCACTATATCTTGTCCCTTCAGGCCCTCTGTTCTCTACCAGGGAGCCACGGTGGCTAGTGGGTAAGGCGCTGGCTCGCTAGCCTGGAGGTCGGGTGTTCGATCCCTGCATTGGCCGAGAAAGTTCATCCCGATTTTCCGACGTGGTTTCCCCTTGTCAGTGATGCAGGACGGAGGGCCTGACAAGGACAGCTGTCTAGTCCTTTGGATGAGACGAAAAACCGAGGACCCGTGTAAACATTGGAATGCACGTAAAAGATCCCTTGGCAGTTGGAATTCGATATAAGAGTAGGCGATAGTGCCGCTGCCCGGGCAAAATTTCCCTCATAGCACACTGTATGGCGTATGCCCGTCTTCATTAGCCCAGTATAGGAGCAGAACAGTAGGACGTTAAACCCCATTTCATTCCCTCTGTTCTCTACCACTGACAGGAGGGACCACGCCGAAAAATGCAGGGATCAAACACCCGACCTCCAACTAAGCGAGCCACAGTTTTAGAATATTGAAAGTAACATAAAACACATAAAATACGACATAGTATATTTATAGTAAGAAGTAAATGGATATCAAATGTATGTCTGTATAATTAAATGAGTTTTCAATTATTTTATTTTTTTTTAAAAAAAAAAAGACAAATAGCTATAGGTTGGCTATGGCGTAATAATTAAAAGGGTAGATAACAAACCTTATCTGTCAACCCTCCGTGTTTCGAGATAAGAGATGATGCTATTACGTTCAACGTAGCACACGCGGGAACGGTTCGCACCCGGCATTTGTAAACAAAATTGACAATATTTTTAATCAAAACAACGATTGATTATTGTTATTTATAATATTTCTGCCACACCCAACTACAATTAAGCATATAATCCTACCTGAAACGGGTACAAATCCCCTCTTTTTAAATCAAAGCGACGGTAGATTGCTTTTTCCGACATTTTAAATTTACGTCTGTAACACATAAAGGCGGGGCCTCGTGTGCAATAGCCAATCAAAGTACTAATCTGATCAGAGTTGCGCAGTAGTAATACGCCGTAATTATGAACGTCCGAATCAATTTTGATAAAAACAACGCTTGATTTACTTTATTGTCAATATTTACTGATAAATGAATGTTGTTTCAGTACATTAGACTGCGTATGTGTAATAAGTACTAATAGTATAAAATTAACTTATTTTTAAGATGGTACATACATTAATAAAGAAATTGAATCTGCCACTTGGAACTAAAGGCACCCAATCGTAGCTAAAAACAAGCACATCAGTATATATCTCAGCGTTTTTAGTTACGTTCTCTTAGCTAATAAAAGGGTTGCTAGTTCAGTTTTGGCGCGCGTGCACTAACGGACAGTTTGCTTTATTATATTATGATACAGGTTTTACATTACATTGTTTTAATAAAAGGTGCCCAGAAGATTATCTGAAACTTCTACTGGATGAATACGATTCTGAAAGTTCACTAAAAATAAATATGGCATTTAAACATTTAAAGGAGCTTAACCTCCAACTCAATATTACCCATAATGTTTGAAAGTAAAAACACGAATTTTAATTCAATATTGGTTTCATGTTAATCAATATTGATGTTGTTAATATCTTAACGTAAAAATATAGGATCCTAATATCCAATATTTAAGACAAAATGAACATTTTAAATACAGTAGGCTACACACTCTATGGCCATAATGGTTTCGAGCGCCTTTGATAATGAACAAAGAAAAACATTCCATAAAACCATGCGGAAGTAATTAAATATGTCTTGATTCACAATCGACAAAATAAAAATGGGGGGGGGGGGGACGTGTTGAGAATGGACTAAGCAAGCGCAAACGACTGTCGTTCAAATTGGACTGTTCGAGTATTTCACCTTAAATAATTGAAACTCTTTAAATTTAAATTTACTGTATATATAGCAGGCCTATCCATTTTCTGGTTTTCAATTTCAGTAAGTTTTTACTTTACAAGTGTTTCTGTGCACGTGGGCTACGTCTATAAAAGTTATAAAGGAACTATGTTTTAAGTACTGGTAATGTATGCATGATATAATAATTATGAATACCGGTAGTGGCGGTAGCCCAGCCTACTCGAAAATATTAGAATATAAATGCTTGAGAATAAATAGAAAAATAATTATATATAATGTTTTCGTTTAGGCCAAAGCAACGCACATAACAAATCTCAAATTATTCACAACGCACATTATAATATAATATAGCTTACGATATGGCGATTGTATGTGTCGTGTTTGTTTCATGGTAGGAAGGTTGGCCATTGAGAACAAGTGGACCAAACTGCACCGCCCTCTAGTTCATCTGCTATGGTTACGATACAACAATATGGCTGCTCTTTCTAACTTGAGTGAAAAAATAATAACAAATTACCTCGAAAATCAAAATATTAAGAAAGATAAAGATGTTGAAGAACTGTATCTTGCAAGACAGGGTCTTACAGAAGTTTGTAGTCTACGACAATTTAAGTTTTTAAAACATTTGTGGCTTAATGGAAACAAACTAAGAAGAATAAATTGTTTAAATGGAAATTGTCGTCTAGTGGAATTATACCTGCACAATAATCAAATTGTGGGGATAACTGGGACCTTACATCATCTAACATGTCTAAAACTATTGTTCCTAAACAATAATCAACTTACAAGACTAGATTCTGTCTTGGCAGAACTGAAGAAAATGAACTGCTTGCAGACACTAAGTTTATTCGACAACCCAATAGCACAAGAACCCGACTACAGAATACATGTTATAAATGCACTGAAGTCAGTTTTTTTGTTAGATCGTCAAGAAGTTAGTAACATGGAGAGAAATATGGCGCGTAAGGTTTACCAACAAGAACATAATCATGTCAGTGAAAGCGTTGCTTTTGGAAGGAGATCACAGGGCTCACCAGGTTTATATCATCGGTTTAATAGTTTAAAGTGTGAAGCAACTAAATTTGATAATCGAGACATTGGAAATAGTTTTCTACGAGATCAGGTTCCTTATGAAACACATGAAGATGCCTGTAACGATAGAAGATCCAAGAAATCAATTATGCTTTATACTTGTTTGGATTGGTCGAAAGTTCCGAGAATTGAAGAAAGAAGAACATCTGAGCACCCATTTGATTCACCTGAAATCGTTACTCATGTGTACAGATAGATCATGGATTTTTTTAACAAAACCATTTATTTTAATATTTGGACGCAGCATTTTATCATAATAGATATCAATTCATTGTTTGTGTAATAAATTATAATAACCAGAATATCTGTAAATGTTTGATGGAATAAATTGTATTTTTATAGAAAATTAAATAGATTTAGTAGTTTGAAAAGGAACAGGCATTGAAATAATGCACTAATGACTAAAGCTGAGAAAGCATCTTTTTACTGATTTGGTATTGAATGGTGGCACTGTAGTGCTGTCAAATTCCCTGAAAACAAATAACTTGTTTTCATTTCTCTCTTGTGCCTTTCCTTCCTCTGTTAAAGTATCGATGAGTCATTTGCATGTTTCGCTAAAATATCAAATTTATTATGGCTTAATTAATGCCAATATTAAATTTGATTATTTAACATTTAATCAAGAAAGCAAAATCTAAATACCAATGCTAGATAACATGGCAGCTTGGATTCACAATGATTTATAACAGGCCTATTCTATGAATTACATAGCAAGGCGCATATGTTAAAGTATCGATGAGTCATTTGCATGTTTCGCTAAAATATCAAATTTATTATGGCTTAATTAATGCCAATATTAAATTTGATTATTTAACATTTAATCAAGAAAGCAAAATCTAAATACCAATGCTAGATAACATGGCAGCTTGGATTCACAATGATTTATAACAGGCCTATTCTATGAATTACATAGCAAGGCGCATAGATAAATGTAAATTTGTAAATACCATTTTTTGACCAATATTACTATTAGAGATCCATCTTTCACAATACTGTAGTTTGCAAGGGATTTTTATAGCGCTAAAATAATGAAATGAGACATTAATGCCCAAGCCTGAACAAGATACATTTAGAATATTATTACATATTAGAATGCTACTCATTAGCTCCATTTATACCAGAAACGACAGAGATTGTAATTTGAGGAGTTTACAACAACTTGCCAGTCTGTTTGCTTCAAGCACCATGGATATATATTTGAATATTGTCTTTCCCTATTCCACTTCCAGTCACGTTTATCTATAGGAATGGTTGATACCCCTGTGTATAGTGGTGTTCATAATAAAATCACAGACTGCACAGTTTTAGCCAACTGTACTTAGAATCTGACCACTAATATTTACTAAAAGCTATAAGTTACCTAACAGATATCTTGTGGATAGATTCTAAAATCAAGGCCTTGACTGGATAAAAACAATCCACATAATCTGACAATAATGTTTTTGTGCAGTGGGGGGTTTGGTCTCCAAATAGTTAAACGAGTGCGCATTAGATCACAAGGTCTGTGGTTTCGATTCCCTGCTTGTATGTGACAAGGCCGGGTTTGCCTGTCCAACCTTGTAGGTTTTCTTTGTGTCCTCCCACTGCTAAAGACCCAACAGTACAAACGAATTATTAAAATGTAATTGATACCATATGTTAATCTTGAAATGACCTAGTTTGTTTTGAGTGGATGTTAAACCTAATTTTTTTCCCTTTTTGTGCCGTTGTTATTTGCCATAAGGAGATGTATAAATTTCTTTGGGTGTTGATAGTTGATACCAGTGTGGGGCAAGAAAGGATCTACCAATAACAATTGCATCTTAAAAAAACTGTAATTATTTTTTAGTTATCAGATGTAGAATATGGAGGTGCAACAGTTTTTCCACATCTTCGAATTAAAATGACACCAGAAAAGGTAAATTTAGTTGAATTATCTAGTGGAAATGATTAATGTAACTTATCACCGTTTGTCTTTTACATCTTGAATCCCACTTCAGCAAAATAGATTTTAGTTATCTAGTCTGTAAAAAACACCCCTGGTGATTACGTTGATCAATGTAACTGGATATTAACTAGACCTCGTAATTTTCGGTTCCCCCAATGATTCTGCCTTCCAGTTCTACTGTTGCTACTGGATATTTATAAAGAAATTATGGTATAATGCACAAAACAAATTATTTAAATATTACATAAATAATATTACACATTTTTGCAGACAATATTTGATAATTCATATAACCAACACGATATCGATATCGCTGATTTTCATTCTGCTCACTGAAGTGGAGATAAACTGTACTTTACATGTCATGAATAACATGACTTACTTGATTGACAATTTATTTCTATTTTAAAAAATATTACCCATGAATCAAAAGCTTTCAAAATTGTTTTTAAAACATTAAAAATAGTTTAGAAATAAATGGGGAAAATGGATTTTGATTTTGTGTTCAAGTTTAAAACTTCCCATAAAGCTATTTTAAGGTACACTGCAATCATTTCTGTTATTATTTTACATAGAAATCGGCCATCTTTTGGTACAGCTACCCTCCCAATGATAATGAAATATTAGAATTGTCAGTACATGCTGGATGTCCTGTTGTATTAGGTGAAAAATGGGGTAAGTTCTTGAAGACTGTTATTCATTGTGGCTGATTAATATGTTCTTTCTAACCAAAAGTAATCTGTCGATAGTAAATGACATACCTTTTCTCTTAGCATTGCCATTAAATATATGTCATAAATATTCATATTTTTTTTATATTTTGCAGTGTCTAACAAATGGATATGGGCTTATGGCAATAGTTTTACTCGGCCGTGTGGATTAACTCCTGATTATACTCAATTACGTTTAGAATGTGAACATGGTAACTCACCATTCAGAGAAAATTGTACAAAGTTAGAAAGCGAATATATTGACATAATGTCAAAAGTGATTACCAATGGACAACATAATGTTACTGATAATTTACCGTTTTGAATGAATGCTGTCATTAATATAGGAAATATAATTTTTGTCGTCCTGTAATGACAACTTTGACTTCAATTCTAAAACCTACATTCCAATATTTTACAAATAGTTTCAAAATTCATAATGTCGACTCCTTTATTTTAGGTCTAAATTGATACCTGGTTTCTTACTATCGCAAAGGTTGTTCCCAAATCTTGAATTCTTGGAGTTTAACAACCTTCAGGTCAAAATGTATCTTAAAAATCATGCAGATATTAAACAAAAAAGATTCTTTTTTCTGCACAAAAACCCCCAGAAAGTTTGTCCTCTAATAACTAACTCCTTGTAAACGATCAAATATTTATGAAAAACCCAACTTTGCTATCCAATACTGTATGAACATAATTGTAGCTGAAAACATGACCCTTTATTTATAATAAAAGTTTCCAAATATACTGTACATTGTTCAGATTAATTTAATGTGTAGCATGTCCAAATGTCCACTCAAATGTCATATTTGTTTGTGGACCCTCAGTCTAGAGGTCACAATTTTTATCTGATTTTGATGCAACTCAAATTATATGTTTATATCCCAAAAATCTCGGATGAGTTGGATTTTGGCATGTATCAGACTGTATATTCCTGGATTATTACCCGTTTATAAGAAAATAGCTCACATTGCACATAGCTCGTTGACCCTCTTAAGTTTTGTTAGATTCAGATGAAACTTAAATATATGTGGACACAGAACACCATTAATTTCCCCATTGACTTTAATGTTAATTCTGGTCTGACCAGCTCTAACTTTTCCCCAAATTTTTTGGGGGTTGAACGCTTTCTGCCACAGATGGAGCAACATGCGGCAACCTCTTGCTCAAAAGCATGTATGAGGTTCACTATGGAAATCTCGAGATAGGCAAACTAGAAGTTGCATACTAGTAAACATGCAACTGTCTGCCCTAAATTTCAACACCAAAAAGTCAACAAAATTCACCGTACAAAACAGGGAAAGATAGGTTGCCAGGCAACAAAACATACGCCCACAGCAGGTAAATCGTCCAAGCGGCCTACAAGGGTTGTCGCATATTTATTCCTTTGTAGGTAATTCGGGGCCTTAACAAGACAGTTCCATACAGATCAGATTATAATTTTTGCCGTTTGAGGGTTCACAAGGTTCTACAAACTGAAAGTAATCTACAGAAATTGTTGAAATTTGACAGGCTTTTTCGTTTTACTAATTTAAATAATGCATATAAATTTCATACAGATCAGATGATCACTTTTGTCATTCAAACGTTCACAACTCTAGAAAGTATTGACGGAAATTGCTGAAATTCAATAAACCTCTGTTTCACAAATTTAAATGATGCATATAAATGTTATACATATCGGATGATAACTTTCATCAATTGAGCATTAACAAAGTGAAACAAGGGCCATAACTCTAGAAGTATTAATGGAAATTGCTGAAATTCAATAGGATTCTTCTCTTTACTAATTTAAATGACGTATGTAAATTTAATACAGATCGGCAACTTTTGATGTTAGAGCGTTCACAAGGTTCAATAAAGTGAAACAAGGGCCATAACTCTAGACATAATGAACAGAAATTATTGAAATTAAATACGGTAGGCTTCTTCGTTTCACAAGATTCAATAAAGTAAAACAAGGGCCATAACTCTAGACGTAATAAACGGAAATTGCTGAAATTCAATAGGCTTCTTCGTTTCACTTATTTAAATAATGCATATAAATTTCAGAAAGATAGGATGATAACTTTTGGCGTTAGAGCATTCACAAGGTTCAACAAAGTGAAACAAGGGCCATAACTCTAGACGTAATAAACGAAAATTGCTGAAATTCAATAGGATTCTTTGTTTCCCTAATTTAAATATTGCATATAAATTTCACAAAGATCGGATGTTAACTTTTTGCATTAGAGCGTTCATAGGGCCATAAATTATTGAAATTAAATAGCATCTTTATCTCACTAATGCGAACAACATATATCAATTTTAAAACAACTGGATGATAACTTTTGGCGTTAGAGCGTTCACAAAAAAATTGTGGACGATGGACAACAGACCACAGTCAGAGAAAGACTATTAATAGCTTTTGCACTAGATTCATGGGTAACCAGCATAGGAATTAATGGTGTCCTGTTAAACTTTGTGAATGTAAGAGGCCACAGTTTTGACAGATCTTTTGCAAATTTGACGTGAAGTATTGGGTTCATGAAAGGACGAACCCTATTGATATTCACCGTTCTGCAGGCTTCTGGTCCAGAGATGCTCTCCTTGCCGAAAACCTTCTGTATGCAAAAATACCGGCTCTAGATAATCTCCCGGAGATTCAATTGGATTTTAAAACAGGCCCATCAAATATGTTTGCGAAAAACAAAATGGCAGCTGGCTTATAACATAGCAAGCTGCATAGATCGATGAAATTTCAATTCAACGTAACTTTGTAAATACATGTACTGAACGGAATTGACCTGGTATTATTACTATTACTATTAGAGATCATCTTTTACAATATTGTAGTTTGCAAGGGATTTCTATTCTGCTAAAATGACACAGTTATCCTTACTCTACAGTGTGGATATAGTATGATAATAAGAGGTCACCCAATCATTTTCCAAAACACTTCAAAAAGACATATAATGATCTGGACACAGTATTGTTGAAATTTGAAATGGTCTACAGCATATTAACCAGTTTCAGTTCACATAACTTATTTACAAACACATATATATTCTGTTACACACGTTTGTACCAATTTCATCTGAATAAGCACCATACACTTACATGCTTTCCAAACTGTAATTATAGGAGACCCTTCACTGCTAATATGGCGCCCAGCAATTTAATCTGAACAAATCAGAAAAAGCACAATACAATTAGGTTGAAATCCATCAAGCCACACCACCACTAAATGTACCCTTTACTGCATAAAAATGCAGTGAATAAATGTTTTAATGCAAAAACCACCATGTTCCTCCACACCTGCAGTTTATTTCGCACAGTATAGACTAACAAATAAGTCAAAATCGACCCAGCGTTGTTTATACAATAGACTGAGTTGCAAGATCACCTGTGGCATAAAATTATAATACTAGTAAATGGACAAGAAAATGTAGCAAGAAAACCGTCCTACATGGACAAGGTAAAGTATGGTATATGTGGACATCAAAATATAAATAAATAATGATTTCTGGAACCTTCCTAGATATATGTAAGTGAACAAAAACAGGCTAAATCTGTGTGAAAGACTCTTAGAAATATTTCTCCTAGTTCCATAGTAACCACTGATTTGACTGGAAGTAAAAATGAAGACGAGCATACACCATGCAGTGTTCCGAGGGAAATTTTGCCCAGACATCGGCACTATAGCTTACTCTTATTTCGAATTCCAACTGTCAAGGGTTCTTTTATGTGCACACACGAAACCAGTTGTATTGTCCCTTGCCATTTAAAAGCTTCGGTATATGGAGGGATCCAAAAAGATAGAAAGTAATTAACTGTACCCACTACCCATTCATGGCTTTAACTTTAAGACCTGTTTTATCGAGCAAAAAATATGTTTATAGAAACAAGACATAATAACTGACCTTTTATATAGGTAACCAAAAAGACAATGTTATATAAGCTGACCTTATAGGTAAACAACAAGACACAATAACTAACCTTTTATATACATAACCAACAAGATATAACAACCTTGTACATAGGTAACCAACAGGACATAATAACTGACTATTTATATAGGTAACCAACAGGACATAATAACTGACCTTTTAGGTAACCAACAGGACATATATAATAACTGACCTTTTACACTTTTTTTTTTTATGTAGGTAAACAACAAGATATAACAACTAACCTTGTATATAGGTAACCAACAGGACATAATAACTACCCATTTATATAGGTAACCAACAAGACATAATAACTGACCTTTCATACAGGTAACTGACAGGACATATAATAACCTTGTATAATGGTAACCAACAGGACATAATAACTGACCATTTATATAGGTAACCAACAGGACATAAAAATGATTTTTTGTATAGGTAACCAACAGGACATATATACTCTTCAAAAAAAGTAGGGGATATTCAGAAACAATACAAAACTGAGGAAATGCACTGCTGTTTTTATTAGAGGTAACCAGTGTATGTTTATAACAGGCCAATTGCCTACACCTGAACATAAACAGTTCATATGGGTGGCTTATCTGATGGCCCCATTTCACGTGCAAAGAGATACACCGTCAAAAGTGAAAATGGACATTTTTGATTGTTGTCTTAATAATGACTAATCCTGAGACATTCAGCAATCACGATTTGGGGCAATCTGACCCACTCCTCTTGCAGTGCCACAGCCAATTCTTGCAGTGTTGTCAGTTGACGTTGACATCGACTAACACGTCTCCCGATCAAATTAAACGTAACACACTTAAGCAAAGATACGCTAACCAGAAAATCTTATGCAAGAACCGATAGGAATGCTAACATGGATAGATAAACTAGCACGCGGCAGTTTTCATCAACCCTTCCTTGAAGTGTCAAATTTGACAATGAACCCCTCCCATGTTTATGACGCTACGGGTGTCGCACATGCAGCTCAGTGGTTCTGTTGGGGCGATAAGTTCTTCATCTGTGAACATACTCTCAAAGCATGTCGACAAGTGTCCATTTATCATATCACAACCTGCATTTCAATATCCCCTACTTTTTTTGAAGAGTATATAATAACTGACCTTTTATGCAGGTAAACAACAAAAGATTTGAACTAATCATTTGTTGTATTTCTTTAAAAAAAATATCACAGAGTTTCCAATGCTGTTTGGATCTTGGAGAGAGAAATGGGGTTTAAAGTCCACTTGGCACAAACTAGGTCATTTTGGGACTAAAATATTGTTAAATTTTATTTCAGTAATTCGCTGAGTGTGTGTGTGTGTGGTGGTAGTGGTTGGGGGTCGGGGCTTTCGAAGTGGGAGGAAACTGAAGGACCAAGAGAAAACCCAGAGTAGGTTGGACGGGCATACATGTACCCACTCCTCGTCATGTACAAGCAGATAATCAAAAATTTAGCATAGTTTTCTTTGGAGCATTTCACAAAGTATTAACCAATTTTATTCACTTAAATATATCTTAGACAGTTCCTTTAATGAAAATCCAAACAGACTGTACACTGTAGGTTATCGTTTTAAATGTCATAGTGAAACAAATTATGACATGAAATTAACGCAATATGGAAAAGTCCGCAAATTCACCACAAATAAAATGCAAGTAATCATTATTACCTTATGCTACTTACATCACATTTATTAAGAAAATCAACAATTTTTTCAATTCATTAAAAAAAAGGGGGTGTTTTTTCAGTTTTTAAGTGTATAAATCAAAATCTATTCTTTTTGAAGTGTAGAATTCCCCACCCCCATTAACTTTCCTCACAAAAACTCCATCAGGGAAAAAGTTTTCTTCAGTCCATGTTAACATTTGTAAACTTGTAAAAGGTCCATGAATAGTCGCGGTTTCATTATTTTCCCATTTATATTCCCACTTAACAGTATCATCATCTTCCTCAACAGGCTCACTTACTTCTTTTTCGTCTTCTTCTGTTTTTTTACCTGGATTGTAAAAAGAATATCATATAATTAGCTTACCACTAAAAAGTACGAGCTTACTATGGACCAGGAACCAAGCATCTTAGAATTAAGTGCCTTAGACTTTTGTTTTTCATGAGCATCCCCACCTCCCCAAGAACAACAAGATGAGTAGCAAGTTTACATTTTTGTTCAGATTAAACTATACATTCTAGTATTCTGCATTCAGTTTTTTGTCTGAATCAACTTGGATGGCAGGCATTAGATTTTTACAGTATTTTTTTTTTATAAACTATTTTTATTCAGTAAATATCTGTCTATGTGTAACCCCTCTCCCTGTATTGATTATATGATCAATTGGATATCCCTTGTTCATACAACAATATATTAAATTATATAAATACCATTAGAGGCACTTTTACTCTCAGGTTCAGCTTTATCCCTTTTCTCAGTTTCATCAAAATTGTCAGCAAACATATCTAAAGCATCATCAGAATCAGCATCTTGGGGAATTTCAAACTTCACTTTCTCTTTAGGATTTTTATGTTTCAATAAATAATTAATTTTTTCAAAAGTTAATTCATAAGCTTCCATATCACCATCAGAGATCAGTCTATCAGCTAAACTGGTTAATTCTAATAACTTTTCTTTATTACCAGCGTCAGCTTCAGATTCGTTAGTCGCAGATTTATTTCCCTTTAGTTTTTTTGCCTTCCATCTTTGACTTGCTGTTTGAAACTTGCCTTTATTACCACCCAATCTTCTTAAAGCTTTAGTGACCATTTCACCTGGTTCAAGAATTTTTAACATCTCTGTATAGATGTGTTTTTTGTCCAGAGGTGCATCGTCTTCATCACTATCCTCATCCATCTTTCTTTTTGAGTTTTTTTCGCGTTCTTTGACTCTGACCCAATCAATATTATCCATCCAGCTGTCTTGTATTTGATCCTGTAAATATAAATATTTAGTAATCGAAATCCTAGTCTGTTTGACAACATTCAGGAATTGGGACTAACTTGTCAGCTTTGAGGTTTATATTATAAAAATGTTTGTTATGCTCAAATTGAACATTTTTAATTTTAGCTTTTAAACTGTATTAGTATTTGTCTAAATTTGGATCAATCTTTCTTTTTTTATTTTACATGTTGACATTTTTATCTGTATTCTTTGTACTGTGCCATTTTGACATCAAAGCATTAATTAAAACTTTAGCCGAAGATCCAGATGATTTCTTGAAAAGCAAAAAGCAAGTTTGATCACTTCATAATTGGATGATGGTTGGGGGAATAGGCTGTATATGGATAAAAACTAATGTCAAAACCAATATCAACACCTGCCACCAACAGGATTAATAAATACATGTGGAATAAATAACCATTATTGTACAGTAAAAAAACTTGCAAACACTGGGTTTTACATACCAGACTAAATTGCTAATATTTTTATTTTTTAAATTTTGATGAACATTACAGTAGCTAAGTCTCTAACTTAATATCATCCAAAATCTTCAACATTGAAAACACGATTTATTTGTCAAATTAAATCAACATTGATGTTGTGATCTTACCAGAAAAAGGTTGGCTTTTGATATCCAATATTTAAGACAAAATAAACATTTTACCATTGGTACATGAATCGTGTACCATAATGCGCTTCAGTCCCAGTTGTAAAAAGAGACTCGAGGGACGAGGCTAGACACATTGCACCAAATCAAACGGCGTATGTAGACTGGAATAACCAGACACTAGAAATTTGCACTCGATTGAGACTGCTGGCTTATTTCGCCGAACATAACTGATTTGAAATTGGATTAAAAATGGAAACCATTGAATGTAAACAGTTTATATACATTCATATTACAGTATTATATGCGTTGTGACCCACTTTTGTCAATTTCTAGGTCCCAAATGTTAGCGATTTAGCTCCTTTTATGAGGCACAAAGCAATAAAAAAGTTTATACATGAATTTATAATGTATATAAATAAAACCTAATATGGGTGTGTATGTTCGCCCATCATGCTTCATCACTGCGCTCCACCCCCACATATGTGGTATCAAATTAACCAGCATGACCGTGTGAATATTTTAGGCCATCGAATAACGCTTTGTCGCCATACTCCACCCCTACATATGTGGTATAAAAGTAACCAGTATGACCCTGTGAATGTTTTAGACCATCGAATTTGGGCCCTGGGCAAATTTGGGCAAAGCCAGCTATAAAGCTAGTTATTAATAATAGTTTATTATCATTTTAAACATTAACATTATGCTTTCCAGTAGTAATGGCTTAGTTTAAAGCAGTAGAAAGGTTGGCAGAAAATATAGGTTTCGTCGGCATTGCACCTTATACATGTACTTATGTTCAATCTATAGCTACTACACTGATAATTCCCATGAAAATGACCATCTTTTAATCTTTTATCAATAGATTTGATTGATACATTCACAACAAAAAAAAGTAAGATATAGAACACATCAGATGTCACATAAAGAATTAATTTATACCTTTTTATCAAAAATATATGTTCCATTTTTATCAAAATGCCCTTCTTCCATTTCTTCTCTCATATTAAATGGGGTTATCTGGACCCCTTCATCAAAGTCTATGGTTGCCTCTTCCTGTCCTGAAAAACAAGGCTAAAGAATGAAAACTTTAAACTCTTAACATGGAATAAAGACAACAAAGTTTGTGTTTTGGTTGATGGCTTGTTTTACATGTAAGAATGTGGTTGTATTTCAACTTACAAATGTATTATTCTGAAGTGTAAAGATAATATATGTTTGAACCATCCAGACTTAATTCATATCATTGCAAAAACTGACCTACTCTTCTCATGCAAAATATGACCAGAAACTTGATAAGACAATATTTTCAACTGGAAAAATACTGTTGCCCTTACGAAAAGTGTTAAAATTTAACTTTCGGCTGTATTTTTCTTTGACTATTATTATGTCAATGTCCGGTAGTAATTACACTGTGTGAAATTGAGATCAAAAAACTATCTACATCTTAGTAATCAAAAGTCGGACCATTTCATTTTTTCTGTTACCTATGTCCACACGAAAAAACTGGTTAAGTTGTCCACAATCATTGGTTGACTCGTACACGCGACTTAAGTTTACTTTCGGGATGTAGAAATATGTTTGTTACACCGTCCACACAACATAGTTTACTTTCGGCACAAAGTATAGAAAGTATTCTTAATTAGTATAATTTTTAGTGCTGAGTGGTGCTTTATCATCATTTCCACCTGGTTTTCATAGTATTTGATATGAGTATGATTTACTTTACTTTGTTATTTAGTTATGTGGTTGAGCTGTGTAAGACATTCCTGCATTCTGCCTTACTCCTACTGCTTTAACTGCTAATTAAAAATCTGATACTGGCAATAGATTACAATTCACAATTCCCGTACATCAGTACATAATATTTTAACACAGCTATCGGGAATCATATTGACGAAAAACAAGAGCAGTCGCACAGTATGGTACAAAAATGCCAACCGAATCGACTACGACTAAATCGATTAATTCTGACAACCCTAGTAATACAAATAAAAAAATCCAATAAAAACCAAATTCTAAAATCATAACGCCAATTAACACACAATACAATTATACTTCATTACAAAAACATTGGTGAACTAATCAAACAATCAGAAAATACCAATCATAATACCAATTAACAAACAAAACATCGATGAACTGATCCATTGTCAAAACAATTAACAAATAAAAGTTATTTCTTCCATACAATTAACCAACAATACTAATATACTTTGTTACAAAAACATTGGTGATTCAATCTAAAATCAAACAAAAAAACAGTCAACAAGTAGGCCTACAAGCTATTTCTTCCATACAATACGAATATACTTTATTACAAAAACATTGTTGATTCGATCTAAAATCACAACACTGATCAGCAGTGAATTTTCACTAGGCCGCTACAATCACTGATAAGGATGACATCGATGCGACTTAATGAGTCCCAAATATTAACTTTTTTCTTCCGTCAAATTAAACATTTTTTTTCATTTATTAGAAAATAAATAAAGACGTTTGAATTATTTGTAGGTAAAAATCATTTCCTATTTAGTGTAATTGGGTATTAAGATAAGTAAAATTCACCATTTAGCCTGAATCAGTAACGTCTTAATAAATGTAAACAATGCACGCGCTATTGAGCCAATGATTGAGCGTGATGTGACGTCATGTGTCGAAACAGTCATCTGTTACAGAGATATTAGAAAATCTCTGTGAAACAGATTGCTAAAATCAAACAACAAAAAAGTCAACGAGTACAAGCTACCTCTTCCATACAATTAAAGTGTGTACGACTACGAGTCAAGTATTAGTTGTGGATGACTTAACCATTAGTTCAATAGTTGTGTATGAGCCAAGTATTAGCTGACTAATAATAGCTGTGGACGACATCACCAATAGTTGTGGAGTTCATCACCTGTGGACGACGTAACCAGTGCATGTGGACGACTTAACTGGCACTCATTAATATTATGGCTCTTATTATAAGAGTCTTCTTGAACAAACCTTCAATATCGTCTTCTTTGAGAACGTCATATTTATCAACTTCATCATCTTCCTCGTCACTGTCTAAAGAATGTTTTCCTTTAAATCTTTTCGATTGGTCTTCTGCAACAACGTCATCTTGAAACATTTTGCTGAGTTGGAGTTAAATAAACTTTAATAATTAGATAGACTAAGCTTTTATTCAATTTTACCGTAATATAAACGATTTTAATTTCCACACCGCGCCATTAAAATTATCTATATTTTGGACTCAGATAACCAGTTCAACAGAAAAGTAGTTCATTTGTTCAGTTATTGTAAAATTATGTATTGTTTATGGCTATTATATTTATCTGAACTTGTTCTTCCGAATAATAGAGCAAATCCTTAAACATTGTGAATCAAAGATCCATTATAAACCAAGAAATTTGAAGTTAGATCCACGTCAGTTTACAATAATAATATATATCACGTTAGAGTTATCCCTTTCCAGACGGCGCGTTTTATTGTTTATCATGCCATGGTTATATTAATATACGTCATTGGTTATATTGGTTTGTATCCAACCTTCACTTAAGTTGTCTGCGATATCACTTATGTGGAAGCAGACGTTAAACACCAAGAACTACTACTACCTTCACTTAATTTGTATGCATCTTTAATCAAAAATTCGGCATATTTTTTTTTTGTTTGCTCGATTGAATAGCTCCATGTCCTTATCTCTAGATCCATCAATTTAACCAAAAAACCGGAAATTATACATAAACCTTTCCCTCACCTCACGCCGGTCATCCCTTAGCCAAACGTCCTACAGACTACTAGTGTAGTTCTCTACAGAATTCTATAGTGTACAAAATTAAACTGCATATAGCGCCGGATATTTCCCCTCAATTGAAAAAAGTCAGAAATGGTTGGCTAAAATTGTTACTTATAGTTATAGGATATTTTTTATTACTGGTATTTATAATTATAAAAAAAAGTTATTTGGTTGGTTACATGTAGATTTTGTAAATCTATATAAATCAAATCAAAGATGTCTCTGTTCGCCCATCATGCTTCGTCACCACAATCAACTGGCCACATGTGGAATGTTTTAGGCCATCGAATTGGGCCTGGGCCCCGGGTAAATAATGCCTTGTCACCGCACTCCATCTCCACATGTGGTGTCAAATTATCCAGTACGACCCCGTGAATGTTTTAGATCATCGAATTTGAGCCCTAGGCAAATAGGGCCCCGGGCGATTTTGGGCCCAGGGCAAAGCCAGATATCCTGCTAGTTATTAATACTATTAACATTTTTACATGTATTCCATGGAATACATGTGAAATCTTATTATTATTACAGATACCTCTTCTGTCGAAAAAACCCTCTTGCAATGGATATTGTGAATCATTATGTGATTCATATTGGCATTTTCTGAGCAAAGCCAAACACTAACTGTTTTTTTTTTTTTGCAAACAACAATTAAATATTGTCATTTATTCAGCACATGATCTACAATAAATTATAATAATTCTATGTGATACAGGTTGAAAGGATCTAATATCAAAGTGGACAGCGGTTGCAGGCAGATATTTTTATTTTGCATATTTTTCAGATTAGTTGACATATGATTATAAGTTTAACAATACCATAAAGTTCAATGACAGAAACCAACTTCTAGCTATAAAATTAATAATGGGATCTCGTTTAGCAAGTCTAGACCTGATATTGAAGAGTTTGATTGCTACTGAATTTATTAATCTAGAGAAGAAAAATTGGAATGCCATTTCAAAACTGATACCAGGCACTACAGCCAGCCAGGTTTGTATCTTGTAACATACATGTAGAACAGATGGATTTAAATTATAACCAGTTTGTGCAATGCCAGCAGGCATTAGTGGTGTAAGCTTAGAGGGGCTCATAAATTTACCATTAAAATCTTAATTATAATGTCCCAGCCAATAATTGCATCTAGTTTGGAAATTTATTATTAAATGTTTGGCAAGCATTTTCTTACTCAGTATTCCAATAATCCATCTTAATCAAGCTTTTAAGGATAGTTGCCATTTTATTCATATTTTTTAGTGTCTTTGTTTTCTTTGGAAGAGCTTGCTAGCAACAGGGGACAACATCACTCATTGATATACACATGCCAAAACACTAGTTGATGTTTTGTAATATATATATTCCTTTATTTGTAATGTGCTTTTATGCAGATATAGTCTTTGGTTTTCGTCATTAGAATTATCTTAATTTCAAATAAAAATACGCGTGTACATGTAGGTTGAAAAAAGCACCTGATTATGCTCCATATGTTTAAAGATACATTATGGGAGATTAGATAAAAAGCTGGCAGTTCTCACTATAATACATGAATAGTTAAAAAACTAGATAATGTAAAGGGAATTTAGCAATTGAATTTTGAGCCTAGACTCGATCATCATTACTAAAGTCGGTACAATAAAAAACATAGTCTCAATTATTCATTTTTTTATTTGATTATCAATGAGCATTGAGCAGCAGTTCGGATTCTAATCCAGTAAATATCGCAGGCTAGCGATGACATCGAGCTTTGATTATGGTCTGGATAAGTTAATTAATGTTTAATCAATAATTTAGATAACATTTCAGGCCTAAATAAAGACCTGCAATTGGCATATTTAGCTCTTGCACAATGTATGTTTAAAGTAGCTAAGTCTCTAACTCAGTATCATCCAAAGTCTTTGAAATTGAAAACCCGAATTATTTGTCAATTTAAATCAACATTGATGTCGTGATCTTACCGGGAAAAGATGGGCTTCTGATATCCAATATTTAAGACAAAATAAACATTTTACCATTAGTACACGAATCATGTACCATAATGCATTTGAACGCCATTTGTAACAAGGGACTCGAAGAACAAGGCTAGACATATTCCACAAGTCATGTCAAACGGTGACGGCATATTCGTATCTGGAGAGCATGCACAATAAATGCTATTGGTGTAAACTGGATTAACCAGACGCTAGAGATTGCCATTCGATTGAGACTTCTCGCGTATTTCGCCGAACATAACTGATTAGAAATTAGAGTAAAAAAAGAAACGATTGAATGTAAATCAGTTTATATACATTCATATTACTTTATTATATGCGTTGCGACCCATTTGTGTCAATGTCTAGGCCCCAAATATTAGCGATTTAGCTCCTTGAAGTGTATTCATGAAATAATTTTATATTTTTCTAGTGTGCTAAGCGTTTTGATGAATTAGTTGCCTCTAGTACAGCATTAAAGATCAGCAAACTTACTAAATTAACCGGTCCTAGTTTGATAACTCCAGGTTTACAAGACTCTGATGCCAGTAGCAAATCTAGTAATAATAGTAGACCACCTTCTGCATCTAGATCTAGAAGTAAGTAACTTTTGTTTACCTCAGCTGTTGATGATATGGTTTTCATGTCTTATATATATATATATATAGCAGTTGTCATGTTCCCTGACAAAGCATTTGGCTTTAATTAAAACATGACTTAAGTCTTACAAACTGGTTGAATCGAGTTGAAATGGGTGTTTATTGTCTCATCAACACAATGTTTCGTTGACTGTAAGACAATCTGAACAACCAGACACCCTTTCCGTGTCCGTGTCAGACTGGCAAGCCCCACATGAGACAAGTGAAGACAGTTCTGATTGAAATTTTAACCATGCTAACTAACTATAATATATTAATTACCTTCTGTCAAGAATACTATATGCCATATGCGAGAGAGAGAAATTGGGTTTAACGTCCACTCGACACAAACTAGGTCATTTCGGAACTAACATTTGTTTTAATTTGATTTCAATAATTCGCTTGCGCGTAGGGATCTTTAGCAGTGGAAGGAAACCGGAGGACCCGGAGAAAACCCACGAGGTTGGACCGGCGACCCTGCTCCTTGTCACGTACAACCGGGGAATCGAAACCACGCCAGTTGACTCAATGACAGACTTTATGATACAGCGAGCACACGCTAACCATTCAGCCATCCAACCCCCCTATATGCCATATGCAAATACTTGATTAAATATGTAGCAAGATGTAATTTAAATTGCCATACAAATATCTATAGAAATTAAATATTTTCTGGATTTTTGAAATTTAAAAAAGACTGTAATAACCATATGGCTTGTAAAAATATTGATTTGCAGTTCAGAAAGAAGACAAAAAGAAGGAACCAAATGAAGAAAAACCAACAGCTGAACTTGGGTATGTTAAGCAAATCACACAGAAATAAATCAATATTTATTGAATGCATTGAGAGCATGGAATATATAAATTAATTTATGAAATCTGAACATTAAACCATTGTCCTATATGTAATAATGTAGCCATCATGAAGGATTTTCATGTAAAGCAGATGAATAGGTTATCTCTTGACTTTATAAAAAAAATGCAACTTTATGAATTTACTGCTTTTTACTTTATGAGTATTGAAACATTGCATAAAATAAGCTAAAAGTAGTAAATTCATGAAGTTGTTTTATAATGTTATAATACCTGTACATGTAAATGTCATTCAATGAATATTTATAGGTTATTTGACAATAAAATTATAAAATTTGTATCATCTGTTGGGCTTGAGACTGTAGAGAATGGTTGATGAACCTGTTTATACATGTACCTAATGAAATTGGTTTTCATTTATTAGTCAAAGAAAACACTTGTTCATACTAGAAAATGAGTCTCGTCAAAATTGTATAAATTTGTTTGTTGTTTATCTCCCCCCCCCCCCCCCAATTAATTTGTTGTTTTTAGTGTCTTGATAGAAAAATAGATATTTTAAGTCCTACATATTTTACGCAGAAAGCTGAGTCTATTAAAATTTGTTCATCCATCTGTCTGTCACACTTTTTATAATTGAGGTAGAATGTTTAAACTTGGCATAGGTGTCCATTAGCCGAATATCATGACTGCGTTCGATGATGAGCATTTTTGGTTTGGATCAAGAAGAGATAAGAAATTTGATTTGTCGGTGCTTTGGAACAAGATAACTTTTATGGTATTGAGTCATGGAACTTGGTGTGTAGTTTCATTGCATCAATTTTTTGACTTCGTTCAATAATAAACATTAAATGATCACGTTAAGCAGACTGATAAGCAATTTGATGGCTGGATGCTCTGTAAATAGTTAAATGTGCAAGTAACTAATGAGTATCTTCTATTTATTTTGTGATTCGGGGAGGTGATAGCCTCACCACTGGCTTTTTAAATCATTTTTTTCCCAGAAAAATGGGAAGCAAAATTTTTATTAATTTTATGTTTAAATTTATGGTTTTTATTGATTTCTATTTATTTGAATTGTTTGTTAAGTATGCATTATGTAAGATATAGGTAATGAGCTGACAGTTCTCGCTATAATAGTTAAATGGGTTCATCTGTCTGTCTGTCCGTCCGTCACACTTTTTGGGACACAATAACTCCCCTTCTAATTGAGCTAGAATGTTCAAACTTGGTGTAGGTCGTAGGTGTTTATTAGGTTGATGCCTAGATGGAGTTCGAAGATGAGCATTTTCTGCTTAGGGTAAGCAGAGATAAGCAATTCAATCCATTTTCTGCTTAGGGTAAGCAGAGATAAGCAATTTGATTGGTTGATGCTTTTGGGCACGATAACTTTGGTTATAATTAAGTGAGATCTATGAAACTCCGGGAATAGATTCATTATATCATTACCTTGACTAAGTTCAATGAGAATTTTCTGCTTAGGCTAAGGATCGATAAGCAATTTGATTGGTCAAGACTTTGGAACATAACAACTCTGCTTTTAATTGAGGTAGAATGTTTAAACTTGATGTTGATGTTCATTAGGTGAATGTTTTCACTGAGTTCAATGATTAACATTTCCTGCTAAAGCTAAGCAGAGCTAAGCAATTTCTTTGATAGAGAGTGATGAAAGTGTATAGTTGATAATCAGTTTGATTGCTCGATACTTTTTAAAAAGATAAACGTGCAATTAATTAATATGTGTCATGTATTTATTTCAGGATTTCGGCCGGGGATATCAGCCTCACTCTTGGCTTGTTATTATCAAATTGGAACCATAAGGCTAAATGCTCATAAATAAAGCATAGATTTCGAAATGATAAGTCAGTAACTTCATTTAAGCAATTTGTATTTATGATTAAAACATATTTTTTGCTTCAGGCCTGTGATGGTTATACATGTATGTGATGAGGCTAAAAACTGTAAGTTCATTATTCATTAGACCCAGTATAGGAAGCTCTACTTTAAATATATCACTATTTAGATAGACCTATATTTTATGTCATGAATAGGAATTGTTTGAGCTTTGAGGTTCTGGACAGGAAGACAGACAACTGTATATGGATCAGTTATTTTCCTCTTTGCTTGTAAAGAATACATATTCAGTTATTGTTGGTGTTATTATGAAAATAAGGGTAGACTCATTTGTTTTGTAGATATTACAAAATACATCTTCATTATAGTCATGTCCAGTGGGTTTAGTAGTCTGAACAAATTAGAAACAAAATGGCTCCATTTTCTTGTGAACGCGATACAGGACAGAATTATTGTTAAAACTTGGTTGTCTATTAAAGCCTACTGAGCTAAACCTGTAACTCAACATTATCCATAATATTCAAAATTAAAAAACATAATTGATTCGAAATTTATATAAAACGTTTGGACCATACATTTCAGATGAGTTTTTCAGAGTTGTCATCCTGTTCAGGGTGCAGAAAATGCATTTAAAGATACATTATAGGAGATTCGATAACGAGTTGGCAGTTCTCACTATAATAGTTAAAAACTAGATAATGTAAAGGGAATTTGATGAAAATTTCAGTCAAATTGATCCACCCTGAACCGAGAACAAAGCGATTGAAATTTCCGCCTAGCCTCGATCATCATTACCAAAGTCAGTACGATAAACAGCATAGGCTTGATTATCCATTTAATCGTTAAATCGTGAAGGAAAGTTATGCAGTAAATCGGCCCATAATCCACTAAAGATCGCAGGCTAGTGATGCCATCTAGGGTTGATTATGGTCTGGATAGGTTAATTAATGTCTAATTAATAATTTAGATAACATTTCAGGAAAGAAAGACATGCATTAGACAGATTTAGCTCTTGCATAATGTATGTTTAATTTTTTTTTTTTAAACTTGTTGGTATTGTTTCTGTGCTTGTAAAAAAGAATCCTTTTGAAATTTAGAATATTTCATTGGTATTATCCCTTGTTAACTTTCGTGTACTTGATACAGTAAATATTAGTTAAGTATAAGCTGTCACTGTACATAATTCTATTTCAGTAAAGAAAGACTTTTTCTGTCCTAGAGATTTATTAGTTAAAGAAATGAAATATTTTGCTGAATATCTCTCTATGGATGCTCAACGTTGGGAGGAGGTGGACATTTCAGTTCATTGTGATGTACAGATTTTTGATTGGCTGATGAAATACGCAAAACGATATTTAAATCAACCCGAAGGTGTACAGGAAAGACCAAAGTTAGGTAAATATCCCTTCTTATTTTGAATCTAATAAAAATAGTGACAGAATTGGTACAGAATTTAATAACGTATGTAGTTTTGTACTTACCTGTCATGTATCTACATTTAATACTTCTGCTAATGAAATGAACCTACTGGACTAATGAAGATGGAACTAATGAAATAGTAGAAGACTATAAGAAAGAGAGACTTGAAATCTTATGATTGCCTATAGATAATATTGTTTCTAAACCATGCTGTACTTATAAGTAAATTGTTATACAATAATATTGAATTGACGTGTCTGTGTAACACTGTGTAAAATATTTGCCAAATATTTTGTTGTTTTATTTACAGAAGCAAATAATGTTGTATCCATCTTGATATCATCAGATTTCTTAAAGATGGACAGTCTGGTAAGTAGGATTTGTCTGTGATATCCCCCACGGGGGCAGCGGACATTATTCCTCAACTACCACCACCACCACCAGGATTTGTACAAATATCTTTATCTAGGTTTATTTAAGATCTGTCAGAGGGCCTGACAAGAACAGCTGTCTAGTCCCTCGGATGAGACGAAAAACCGAGGTCCCGTGTATACATTGGAATGCTAAAAAAGATCCCTTGGCAGTTGGAATACAATATAAGAGTAGGCAATAGTGCCGCTGCCCGAACAAAATTTCCCTCATAGCACACTGTATGGCCTATGCCCGTCTTCATTAGCCCAGCATAGGAGCAGAACAGTAGGACGTTTAACCCCATTTCATTTCATTTCTTTTCTTTTAATAACCAGATAGACTAATACACTGTAACACAAACTTATGGAAGAACAATTACTAATTTGTTTGGACAACATTTTGAAGAGTACTCTCACAATATAGGTTTCTTTGTAAGCATATAAATACTAATTCATAGCAATATTAACATGTATAAATATGTTTTATTTACTAGGTTCAAGAATGTATAGAATTTTGTCATAAACAGATATCAGCAATAGTTGGAACAAACTGTAATATGAACTGTATTAATGATAACTTAGTATCAAGGTAAATTAAACTTTAAACAGCTTAGATACTTCTTGATTTGACCCATACTCGAATTTGACACGTTTTTGAGCATTAAAAAATCTCTTGTCAAAGGGGGGGGGGGGGGGGCCAAATGGTTTAAAACCTGCACATTAGGTCTGTCATTGAGTCAAGTGGCATGGTTTTGATTCTTCGCTTGAATGTGACAATTAGTAGGATCCCCTGTCCTGCGGTTTCCTCACTTAATTATTGAAATAAAATTAATCATATGTTAGTCCCAAATTGATCTCTCTCTATCTCTCTCACTCTTATGTTTTTATATGCCATGCCCACATTTTCATGTGGACATTGTCCCCATCCGTCTGTCCACAATTTGTTTGTGGACTCTCTAAAGGTCAGAATACCTCCTACTGCACTTTGTCAGTATTGGCCAATAAACTTCCTCTCTGGAGTTTTATGGGGCCTTCTTGACAAACAATCCCTTAATTGTACCTCTCCATAATCAAGATGCTTATACAGTCATGATTTTCCACTGTATGGTTTTTGTTTGTGGTCCCTCTAGAGGTCACAATTTTTATCTGATTGAAAAAAACATCTGAATATTTCACTGTTACCCCCTAATGACGGCTGAGTTAGAATTTTATCAAAATCGGACCAAAACTGCCGGGCAAAATGGAAGCCCCTCGTACGCAATGATATATCAAGGTTGTGGACCTTTTAGAAGTCACAATGTTGATCTAATTTTGATGAAACTTGAAATGTATCTTTATAACCCAAAGATCTTGGTTCCTGTCGGTATTCGTGCATATCGGATCGTAACTTCCTGAATATATGGCCCTTGATTTTACGAGAAATCACTTTTTGTTTAGCTTATTCTCTATCCATCTCTTGCAAAATGTGGGCGTATCCTGCCTGGCAGCCCCTGGTTGGATATCAAATATTTTTAAAGAGAGCACATGTTTGATTTAAAATGTCAGTATTCTAATCTGAAACTTATTTTTTTTTTGTCAGAATTGCAGACCTTTTTACGCATACAGAAGCTGATGAAATCAAAGATAAAAAAGACAAATTCAAAAAGTAAGCATTGACAACAGTTTTATGTACAGCAATGTCATTGATCTGCTAATCTCTATTTAACAAATCTTTTAAATAACATCATTGAAAATCACACAAACCAGTTTTGTTTCCTTTGCGTCATATTACCGTACACTGATGTGTTCTGTACTCTTTCAGAGTTAGGCGCTATATTAATTATACCACCGGCTCACTAACCTGGCAGGTTCAGATTCGGTGAGGGTCAACAAAGTTCCTTAGATTTTCTAATTTTGGTTTATCTTTATTGACTGGTAATGCTCCTGACACTTGGAAATTGAAATAAGAAAAGGCTGTAATACTGCCATCCAGGCTTAATTTCCCTGTTAGTACAGAAAAGTTTGATGTTAAACCTCATTTCATTTTCTTCAGTGCTAAACTTTGTTGGACCCTAATCAATATTTTTTGGGTTAGATCGTGACATGATATTTCATTATTGCTGTCATAATGAAATGAAACGTATATTGTTTTGTGTAATATACAAATATCATTACTGTTCATTGCGATTGGCATGTAAGTAGATAGTTTAGCCTCATGCCTGTTGCACACTTTTCAAGAAATTTTATCTTGATAGAAAATTTTGATAATTCAGATGATATTTAGGGATGATTGATATACATAAAGTATCTGTTTTGTATATTTCAGTAAATTATTTGCTAAAAAATTAGAGAAATTATTTGAAGGAAATTCTGCCGATTCACCTGGTTCAGCGTCTTCTTTGTTTAGGTTAGTAAAATAATGAACACAACATGAGGCCAATCGAACAAAAATAATCTGATTGTTCGACCATCCTTTCATTTATTTTTTGGTTTTAATATTATCAAATGATCATGTAGCTAAATGACCGTTTAACATACATCTTATTTCAAGGTTCTACATTTATTTCATCATTCGTTTATTCATGTGTACAGGAATTCACTTGCGGAATATGTTAAAATTTATTTCTGGATGTTAATTACACTGTACGCTTCTGAATTCAACCGATACATTTTATTTAGAGTTGCCTCCCTTTATCAAGTGGAAATAATAAAAGTACATAAGAATGTTTGGGGTTTTTTTTTAGTGACACAGTGGTATCCGCAATGAAATCAGAATACCAGTATCTTTTTTATAATATGACCTAAATTTGCACTGAAACTATCTCCATAAGACTATGCCCAGTTTTTCAGGCAAATAAATTTCACCAAGTATTATAAAATTTGTAATAGATGTTTTGTATGTAAGCGTTATGTGTAATATATTTTTTAATAGATGTTCTGTATGTAAAAGAATACTCAATCAATCAATGAAAAAGAGAGTTAAATGTTTGCCAAGCAGGTTAGTAAAAGCTTTGTTTTTTAATTAAATTCAGGATTTTAATTTAAAACAACAGTATAGAGCATAAAAAAGAAATTGTATTATGCTGGACTAAAAATTGAAAATACTGCTACTCCTTCTCAGACGCGTACTTTATATAATTTCAGCAAATAAATGAAATATGACCTGTTTTCGATTGGAAACAGGGAATTATTATACTCCGTTTGAACACAAATGACCGTGGATCCGAAATAGTATTGGTAGAGTTTGTTATTTATGATTAGTTAATAAATTAGAATTTCTCCAGATTGAGATTTTTATACTTCCACATTTTCATGTGGACGTATATTGTCGTCGCCCCTGTCCGTCCGTCCACAATTGTTTGTGAACAGTCTACAGGTCACAATTTTTATCCGATTTCAATGAAACTTGAAATATAGGTTTATCACCCTAAGATCTCGGTTCCTTTCGATATTGGCATGTATCGGACTGTAACTTTATGGATTATGGCCTCTGATTGTACGAAAAATCACGTTTTTAGCTTGTGAACACTGTAGAGGTCACAATTTTTATCCAATTATGTTTAAACTTGAAATGGATGATTATAACTGACAGACAAAATGACCACTCTTCATTCTCAAATAGCGTAAAAATATGGTATGTCAAGGTTGTGGACCCTATAGAGGTCACAATTATTGAAATGTAAGTTTATAACCCAAAGATCTTGGTTCCTTTCGATATTCGTGCATATCGGACCGTAACTTCCTGAATTATGGCCCCTGATTGTACAAAAATTGCGTTTTTAGCTTGTGGACCCTATAGAGGTCATAATTTTTATCTGATTTAAAAAAACGTATTATTATATCACTGTTACACCCTAAGGATGGCTGAGTTCAAATTTCGTGAAAATCGGCCCAAAACTGGCAAACAAATCGGCCGCCCCTCATTCTCAAATAGCGTAAAAATATGGTATATCAAGGTTGTGGACCCTATAGAGGTCACAATTTTTATCCGATTTTGTTGAAACTTGTAATGTAAGTTTATAACCCAAAGATCGTGGTTCCTTTCGATATTCGCGCATATCGGGCCGTAACTTCCTGAATTATGGCCCCTGATTGTACGAAAAATCGCGTTTTTAGCTTGTGGACACTATAGAGGTCATAATTTTTATCCGATTTAAAAAACTGTATTATTATATCACCGTTACACCCTAAGGACGACTGAGTTCGAATTTCGTGAAAATCGGCCCCAAACTGACAGACAAAATGGCCGCCCTTCGTTATCAAATAGCGTAAAAATATGGTATGTCAAGGTTGTGGACCCTATAGAGGTCACAATTATTGAAATGTAAGTTTATAACCCAAAGATCTTGGTTCCTTTCGATATTCGTGCATATCGGACCGTAACTTCCTGAATTATGGCCCCTGATTGTACAAAAAATTGCGTTTTTAGCTTGTGGACCCTATAGAGGTCATAATTTTTATCTGATTTAAAAAAACGTATTATTATATCACTGTTACACCCTAAGGATGGCTGAGTTCGAATTTCGTGAAAATCGACCCAAAACTGGCAAACAAATCGGCCGCCCCTCATTCTCAAATAGCGTAAAAATATGGTATATCAAGGTTGTGGACCCTATAGAGGTCACAATTTTTATCCGATTTTGTTGAAACTTGTAATGTAAGTTTATAACCCAAAGATCGTGGTTCCTTTCGATATTCGCGCATATCGGGCCGTAACTTCCTGAATTATGGCCCCTGATTGTACGAAAAATCGCGTTTTTAGCTTGTGGACCCTATAGAGGTCATAATTTTTATCCGATTTAAAAAACTGTATTATTATATCACCGTTACACCCTATGGACGACTGAGTTCGAATTTCGTGAAAATCGGCCCCAAACTGACAGACAAAATGGCCGCCCTTCGTTCTCAAATAGCGTAAAAATATGGTATTTCAAGGTTGTGGACCCTAAAGAGATCACAATTTTTTATCCGATTTTGTTGAAACTTGATATGTAAGTTTATAACCCAAAGATCTCGGTTCCTTTCGATATTCGCGCATATCGGACCGTAACTTCCTGAATTATGGCCCCTGATTGTACGAAAAATCACTTTCTTTTTTGCTTGTTCTCTATCCATCTCTCGAAAATGTTTTTATTATATAATATCCTATTGTGTTTTATAATATCATATTGTTTTAGTTTTATAATGTATTATTTTAATAATATTGATTTAGTTTTAGAATGCCCTATTGTTTTAGTTTTATAATATCATATTGTTTTAGTTTTAGAATATCTTATTGTTTTAGTTTTATTATATCATTTTTCCTTTTAGAATGACAATAGACAGACATGGTCAACTTACTTACTGTCATCTACAAGATACAACTTTTGATGTAAATGAATACTTGATAGATCTAAAATTACAATTAAAAAGATGGCAAGAAGTTTATTGGAGAGTTTGGGGGACAATAAACTGTCTGCCTTGCAGTCGATGTTCAGAAGTCTTCCCATTGATTGAATTTGGTCATTGTAAATATCATCCCGAAGCTCCTCGTTATGACAATGAGTCTGGCATCGGTTCTTGCGTTGGTGTTTATCCATGTTGTCATCAGAATACATTACGATTTGATCCTACACAACAAAGCAGAGTAAGAATCAAAATGCATATATTTTTAGATACATTATCTACATCAAAAATAATCATATTGTTATAACTTTCTATACAAATTACCATCCCAACCATAACCAATTAGAGATTGGCTGTTGTCAGTGTGTGCATAAAGGAAAGTTGGTTGAATTTGGTGCCTTTGCTTTTATTAAATTAAAGGCCAGACAAAAACCTGAGGGTATTTGCAACTGGTGGAGGGTCAATGGGGAGTCTGGCAAAATATAGGCATTACCATTTGGGCAGTAAAAAAAGATTTTTCAAGCAAAATTCACTTTCATCAGTCAGTTCAAGCAAATCTTTTACTGCCTTCCTAATCATATTGTGTCTCGTATGATCATTTTAGTACAAAGGGGCATCTGTTATTCAGAATTTATCGTTATATTTTACACAGATTGTATTTTATTTAGGGATGTCGTGTCAAGGATCATATTGTATATGTATCAGAGATCACTGGATTTGAAAATGGAGAAGAAACAAATAAAACACAACTACAAAAATTATCTGATGATTTACTAGCACATAGAGACATAATATGTATACCATACCAACGTATGTCAGATAATAGGTAAATTATTTTTCTCAATCATTTTGATAGTAATGATGAAAGAGAGATAGAAATGGGGTTAACGTCCACACGAAACAAACTAGGTCATTTCTTGACTAACATATGGTTCACTTTTATTTCCATAATTCGCTTGCACATAATGGTCTTTAGCTTTGGGAGGAAACCGAAGAACTCAAGAGAATACCAACAAGGTTGGACGGGCGACCCTACCCCTTGTCCACATACTAACAGGGAATAAAAAATCAAGCCATTTGACTCAATGACAGACCTTATGAGCTAACGTTAAGCCATGCGTTTTTAAGAAAGAATTTCTGGTTGTGTAGATTATATATGTGTTTGTATTTTTACTAGTGATCAAGAATTAAACATATTTGATAATGAAATATTTGCTGTACAAGGTCATCACCATGGAATAACAATACCAACATTTGTAGGGGAGGACAGCAAAACTGATGTAAGTTCATTTACAATAATTATAAAATTACTTAGTTACAACAGCAGTAAATTGGTTCTTGGCCCATGATTGCAATAGTGTTTTTATTTTACAGCCAAGGTTTATAAAAAATAAAGGAAATTTGATTTTTAACAAAAATTTATTAACTCTTTGATGATTATTATGTTGATTTTTTTTCTTTGATTTTAATTTTCTTTTTTTTTAACTTTTTTTTTTTTTTTCAATTATATCATTTTAAATAAATTTGTTTTAACGGGAAAACAAAACAAAAAGTCAGATACAGGAGAAAAAATGCTATTGCGATCAGAAAAATTATCATCTTTTATCCCACTAAATGTTCAAGGACAATTTCCAGCAGAAATATATTTGCTAGCCCAAGTTCATTTGACCGATCAGCATGTGAGCTGATCGCAAATATGAAATGCAGTGTAGTTAAAATAGAATCACCAATTGAAGATATCATGATAATTTTTTCACCAATCAACGGTTGGGAAAAACAGAACAATAAATTCATGGCCACATAAGAACAGATTTTGAGGGAAATTATTTTGTTTTTGGGATGTGTAAACTAGTATACTCCTGAATCGGTACGGACTGACTTTCCCACTTTGTACTATGATAATGATTTGTAAGGTATCTAGTACCTGTGCGTTTATCTATCATTTTATGTTTTAAATTATGTTACCACAGCTGAGTAAACCACAGCCTAGGTTACAAGCTTTAACAGTAGAGAAAGATATCTCATTTGATTATGATGATTATGGCATGGGTGAAAGTGATGATGAAATTGGTGATGAAGAATCATTAAAAGGCACAGGTAAAATTTATTTAACACTACTGCAGAATTGTTATTTCTATGGCAATTAGTTTATATATACAAAACACAACTACATATATCAGCCATTTTTTCTTGCAAAGAGATGATAATCCTGAAAGATCCAGTTTATACATAAACAATAATATTTAAACATATGTTCCCTGGAGCATAATTAGTTTACCTGTTCAAACCTCTTAACTTAGTTTTATCTAGTAAATTATTACAGAACTTGAACCACTGATTCTTAGTGCTTGTATTACTCAACGGTTGTTTGATAATGGCAGCACTTGTCTTTTCATTGGCTTACAAGTTACAACTACATATAATGGCGACTATATTAATATTTGTAGATTGTCAAAAGAGCTTCATTTGAAATATCTCCAAAGATATAAGGTTAATGGTAACAATTTTGTGTTTCAAACTGTCGATATGTCTGGATATGTGTTTCTAGTTTATTATGTATTTAGGAACATGAATGTCAAAGATAAATATCTTCAAATTTAATAAGATAAAACTGTGTTTTATAGTTCAGTAAAATATATATGCATGATATATATATACTTTCAGTAGTTAAAAAAGTGAAAGCAAAAAAAAAATCAAGGGTAACAATTGAACCACAGGCTATTTTAGTTGGTGCTCCGGAATTTCAGTAAGTAAGATCAAAAAGACTAGCTTTGTAATAATACAGGAGTTATTTGTTTATTTATTTATTATTAATGCCAGTGATCATCATTTGCTTTTTTTGGACAATATTGAATTAGTTATTACCTAATCCCTGCTAAGATGGATTTAAATTGAGTATTTAACATTTAACCAAGAAAAAATACATATGTATCAATGGTAGATAATCTCCCTGGTTAGATTCAACACAAATGTTGTGAAATGTTTATATCATCATATCTTTGTAAATCCGAACAGAATTGAACCATTTTCGACTCATATTCCTTTTAAGATATTCAACTTTAACAATATTGTTGTTAACAGAGGAGGGGGTTGGGTGGACGAATGGTTGTATCATAAGGTCTGTCATTGAGTCAAGTGGCAAGGACTTCGATTCCAAGCTTGTGCGTGACAAGGAGTAGGGTCACCTGTCCAACCTCGTGGGTTTTCTCCAGGTCCTCAGGTTTTCTCCCACTGCTAAACCCCCTACGCGCAAGCAAATTATTGAAATAGAATTGCACAATGTTAGTCCCAAAATGACCTAGTTTATGTCGAGTGGATGTTAAACCCTATTTCTCTCTGTGTTTACAGGGAATTCAAAATCCTTCAAATAATGATCAGAGACTTTCTTTAATGACTTTTTCCAAAGTACAGATTTTTATGTTTTATGTCTATGTCGTTTATATTGATTTTGTTTTATTAACAACTATTATAGTTGTACATTACAAGACAGTTTTTTTATTCCAGGCAAACAAAGAAATCTACCTGGGATTCACAGAGGTCAACCAGGTTTAATCAAGATGCACAGAGACAAGAAGGTACTAAATTTTAAAAAAAAATATTCATATTCAAGGAGTTTGTAGAGATATTTTTTAAACTAAGATTTTATATATTATTAAAACAATATAATTTGATTTTCTGGATTTATGTTTACCAGTTACTTAGATTCCTAAATACCAATTCTCAGGTATTTTTAAAATCTTACAAGTTACACACCAGAATGGATATGCTTACACTTTCCAGAATACAATATACCTTTTTGAAAATGGAAATTGTAAATAATATATTTGATTTAAGTTCTTCACGTAGCTAAGATATCTATAATTATTTTTGTAGACATACAAAAGTTTAATTCTTTATTCAGATCAAAGAAGAATGAATGAAATATGTACATTTTTAACCAAACTTCGACTGAACCAGGAGAAAACAGAAAAACATAGTAAGAAAGAGGTAATTAATTGGCTGTTTCCAGACAATCTATATATTGTAGTTAATCAGATCAATAAATATGTTTAGGCCAGTAACCTTGGTAACAGTCATCCATAATTAGAAAAACAAAAATTTAGTACAGGTTAATAAAAGAGCCAATTAGACAGATACTATTATATCTTGATCCGTATAATGATTTAGTCTAGCAGTCTGTTCCCTATAATGATTTAGTCTAGCAGTCTGTTCCCTATAATGATTTAGTCTAGCAGTCCCTAATGATTTAGTCTAGCAGTCTGTGTTTTTGATCATATGTATTTAATTCTCTGGGTTATATTATTGTGTATTGCAGTATGCTGGTGGTCTTTTTAGTAAAATAGAAGCTCAATGGAAAGCTGCTAATTTGTCACAACATAAACAAAATCAGAATCAACAAAGGTACATTATTCTATATAGTACAACCATTAATTAATATTAATGGTTTTTATTATCCTACATTGAAGAAAATTAGGGAGGGATATCGAAATGGGCTTTGTCCTTTTTTCTGTTCTGATTTTGTCGTCCCAAGCATATCTGATTAACCATTTAAGATAGCTTTATGAAATTTTGTACATACATCAACCATATTATGGTAGTTGTGCTTTTTTCTAATTAGACATTTATCAGTGGAATAATTTTTGTGTTTCCACAAAAAACAAATTGACTTAGTTTTTGGTATGCATATATATAGCCATTCAAGATTTCTTATGAAACTTTATGAAATTTTGTTTTAATTCATACTGTGAGAACTGGGCATATAACATATCACTTCATCCTTCTTGTGGTGGTAGTTTGTATGGCCACTGTAACCAGGTAGCATAATTGGGATGCTTGATATTATTTGCTATACCTGTACATATGACAACTGTACACTACCAGTGTTTGCTTGTAGATTACTTATAAAATAGAGATTGTCTATCCCCAGGCCCGGATCCAGGATTTTGTCGAGGGGGGGGGGGGGTCCATACATCGGAGCAACGGGTAATCATCAGAGTGCCGCATGCATTTGTGGTTTTGTGTAGTCCCCAGAGTCTTTGTAGCGGCCTCATTAAACAGAAACTAAAATCTGGGAATCCCATTGCTGGCTGCAGGTGCTGGTCTAAACAGTGATGACCAGTCTCATTGGGGCTGAGGGAGTGGCCACGGCCCCCTGGGCACCCCCCTGGATCCGCACCTGTATCCCTGTATCTCCCAAAATATGCCCAAGTGCCTGGAATGAGCTAAGCCTTTTACAGTTATATTATTGTTGTATTCAACAGAATGTTTTTTTTTATAATCCAGATTAATAGATACTTTACATTTATATTAATTATTGATTTAATAACAGGCCAAGAACAGGAAACAGTTTGTTTTATAAAAGAGATAGATCTATAAATTCAACATGTAAAATAGTTTTATATGTCTATACTACTACTCTTTCATCATGTTACAAAAGCACAGTAATACTACTGACTGACATCTTCAATTAATCTCAATCAGTTTTAAATTAAGAGTTTATTTCTTCTCTTTCTTTAAAATACTAAATTTTGATAATGAATTTGTTGATACCAATTAACTACATATGAATTTATGGACTAAAAGAATATTCAAGTTAAAATATGAATCTTCATTATTTATTGGTTAAAAGAATATTCAATTTCAAGTTTAAACATGAATTTTCATTATTTATTTGTTCAAGGAATATTCAAGTTTTAAAAAATATGAATCTTCATCATTTAATTGGTTAAATGAATATTCAAGTTCAAATACAAATCTTCATTATTTATGGGTTAAAAGAATATTCAAGTTTAAATACAAATTTTCATTATTTATGGGTTAAATAAAAGAATATTTAAGTCATATTAATTCATATGAATATTTTGATATATTGAATATATCTTTTCAAAAACATTGTCACTATATAACCTGCTTGTTATTTAAGATAACTATGCCATATGTTAACTTATGTCAATGTCTCTACTATGTAAAAATTGGTGTCACCATGGGGGAAATCTCCAATACCAATTCTAATATTCAGTTAACCTTGCACACTCTTTTTAGTTAGAAATTATTTATGCACATTATTTAATTAAATATTTCATATGTTCATATGTATTCTCTGCCACTCTTTGTTTTTCCAGTATAGAAGCTTATATTTATTACATATATAATTCTTTATTTCAAGATATCTCCTATACTAGTTTTTAAAATGTTTTTTCTTACTAGATTTTTGTAGAAAGTTTAAGATTTTCCCATTTTTTGTGGTAGTTTTTATTTTTAGTTAATAAATCAAAGTATTACTGTACTAATAAATACTTAGAAAACCTAGATGGGGAAGACCCAAACCTCATATTAATGGATTCTTATATAGCCTAAATGTGTGTTCTATTAATTTTATTTTTCTATTTATTTTAGACCAAAGATGAGATTAAATAGCTTGAGAGCAGGCATATTTTGATTATACTTGAGTTTTATGACCAAGATAGCATCTTCATCAAGGTTATCCAGGATTATAATCATAAACAAACCTGAAAGAAGAACAGATAACAGTGGATTATCTGAGAGGACAATTTATGTAGATTCATATATGATACCTTACATGTATATGATATTTATCCATGGTATCAATATGATTTTTGGTGTGTACCTGAAGTGAAAAGATAATAAATGGCACATTGAAATTAATATTGCATTAAAGAGTGTTATAATTTCTTAATATATATTTCTAATGTTGTATCTTCTTGTGTGAACAGTTTGCTTTCAGTTACATCCAATCCTTAATCAAAGATGTGTCTGATGGCCAATAAACATTTTCTCTATTATTTAACAAAAATAAGAGCCATAGCACCATAAAGTGTTTATTAAAATTCAAACAGTAAACGTAGGTTAAACAGCAACTTCGGCTATATGTTTTGGAATAGTTTTGAGTTAGCAGTTTGACATTCACGATTGCAGAAGTGAAATCAATAGAAATTATATTATTGGACATAACTTACATTAGAATTGTTTTATTTTTATGTCAATTTGGACCAATATGCATAATGGTAAAACTGATTTCTATTAAGAATGGTCTGTTGTTTTTTATGGAATATTGGGTCTTTGCATTTTTTGGACTATATCTCATTTTTTACAGCTTGATCCACGCTAATATGTACTCAAGTTGATTACTCCGAATTTTAATGAAGAAAACAAAACACAAACGGTTGCCACATTTTGCAACAGATGGACAAAGAACAGGGAAAACTGATGATCATTCTCTCATTGTCCCAATGCTTCACATCGGACTTGAAAATAATCAATTAAAAAAACTGTAGTCTCTATCATGTTCACTGGCAGGTAACTCAGGAACGGAATGTCATGAACTGAACACTGAATATCGGTAGTGTTCATCGTGTCATGACCCCCACTACTTCCCACCATATTTGAAATAATTCCGTTAAAAACTATAGCCTCTTTCGCATTCACAAACTTATTGGCTAAGGGGGCATAACTCTCAAGACCCTCTATCAGACACCTTTACTAAAGTAACTTTAGGAGTTTGCCACAAATATCTGAAAAGTCAATGCAGACAGAAGCAGATTATAGCGCAGGCAGCAATCTCCGACCCAAATTTTGTTTGAAGGTCTCTAAAAATAAAGCTAAAGAAAGCACCAAATCGGGGGAGAAAACTTGTAAAAGACCCCCAAGACAGGGCCTCTGAGTCCTGTGGATGAGCCCCCCCCCCCCAAATCGGAGAAAAAGACCCCATTGACTCCAATAAAAGGGCCTCTCCAAAAAACTACTTTAATTCACTTAATGGTAGCCCTCCTGCTGGCGAATGCCATTTTCTTTTGTTAACTTTGTTTCCAGGGAGTGGTAGGTTGACATGCAGAAACACTGTCCAATATCTATATTGAAAATACTCTTTTTGGGCCAAAAAATGTCTATTGCTCGGTAATCGTGGTGAGTTATGTAAAACCTTGCCAAAGAAACTCTGTGGTTTCAATAAGCTTCCCATATATTTATTATCATGTGAAATTTCACTTCTGTTTACACCTTTGCCACGGCGGATATATGTCATATCATTATGCTTTATGTATGCTACAATCAATGTCCCCCATATTTTTCGCCGTGGCGAATATAAATGAGGGTTTGACGTCCTACGATGATTGTCTGCGATATCACTTTGGTGGAAGCGGACGTAAAATAAAGCTATTTCACACACACGTACATCCTACGTTTCAACACACACATCCTACGTTTCATCACCAACTGGCCTAATGAAGATGGGCATACTCACGGTGACTGTAAATTTGCCTGGCTATGATTTACTATTAGTATTATTTCAATTTCCAAACTGTCAAGAATTCTTTTATGTGCACGGAGAACTTTCTCGACCAATACCGGGATAAAGCTGGGAACCTCCTGGTCAGCGAGTCAGTGCCTTATTCGCTGAGCCACCTCATCTTCCAATAAAATGTAAATGAACTGATCAAAGTTGGTACTGTACAAGACACGGGTATGCGAAAATAATGAGCATAAGGGTTGTAGTACTATCGGACTTCTTTTCTTGTTGTTTTTGTTTCTTCGTGATCGTAATAACACTACAGCATTTTTGGTTTTAGAACTTTATTGCTAAGCTGTAATGCCTTTGAAGGTTCCTCGATCGTTCTCAATAATAATAGCTGCTAGGAATATCGGAATGAGCTCTGACCCATCTCGCTCTACACCCTAATTTATACCCCCTAATTTCTGCACGTCTTAATTAGATAGCCTTGACGTTAGTTTCCATCCCAAATATGGAATAAACCTCTTTATTTCACACGACCAAAGGAGGAGACATTACCTTATTTGGTCTACCAACCATAGGTCAATTAACAGACAGAATTTGATGGATATCTTGACAATGGTTATGATTTTACCAAAATATCACTGGGTTTTTTTTTACGTATAACTATATATTCACGTTCATTAAGTCCGTGTGATTTGACTCTATAGGCAGTGTGAAGCAACAATTTTTCAAAGAACCAAAATTGTCTTAATAAGGACCAAAGTGTTACAGGGTTCAAAGTTTATCCATTATGACGTCACAATTAAAACAACGGGATAATGAAACTGATGACGTTATGTCTATTGTTCTAGCACATTTTTACAAGTTTTAGAATTAGCAGGACACCTTTTCGCTATTTCTGTGATAAAATTGTTATTCAAAGATTTTTTTACATCTTTGCTACAATTATGAATTCATGGTAAGTGAATAAACCCTTTTCTGGTTTCTCTTTACAATTTCTATTCAATTATTTAGCGTTTTCAACATCTATAACTGTAATACACAAAACTATGGTATTCTACGTTTGTATTAATTTGTAAGAATTATTAGCCCTCTCAAACATTTTTATACAAAAATAAAAAATAAAAGGACTGGACCAACCCCTTATTTTATATGGTTTTAATAAACGTTTTATAACTTTAAGAAGAATTTTATATTTGTGTATGGTTGATATGTCAATGGATTGAGTGCATGGTTTTAGGAAGAAAGTATTAGGACATCGAGCTTTGGTATAGCTAGGAGACGGTAATGAAGATACTCCATACCCATCTCCTAGATCAACCACTGTTACTTCTCTTACTGAAGTATCGCGGCGTGCACTACTGGAATGAATATATTACAACATTTTAATCAACTCTGAAAATGACGTCATGGATTGTTGCCTTCGAACAATGTTTGGTGTCTTGTTGTATAATTGAGGAAAGCAAGTTTGTTATTAATATCATTTTGTAACCAGATTTTATGGACACTCATTAGTAATTGTGTTGTTTTAAGTAACTAATAGTCGCATCTACTATATCATTTTATGATCGATATAGGAGACTTTACCGTGTGGAAAGTGCAGGGGAAAACTCCGCACAGCGGATGCGTGCCGCATACTCTCTTCTGCTACATATTTTAACAGCCTTGTGATCGTCTAGTATTGTCTCTGGTTATATACTCTTCAAAAAAAAGTAGGGGATATTCAGAAACAATACAAAACTGCGGAAATGCACTGCTGTTTTTATTAGAGGTAACCAGTGTATGTTACTTAACAGGCCATTTGCCTACACATGAACAGTTCATATGGGCGACTTATCTGACGGCCACATTTCACTCGCAAAGAGATACACCGTCAAAAGTGAAAATGGACGTTGATTTTTGTCATGCTCCTGATCAACCGTTCAATCACGATTTTGGGCAATCTGACCCACTCCTATTGCAGTGCCGCGGCCAATTCTTGCAGTGTTGTTGGATGACGTCGACGAACACGTCTCCCAATCAAATTAAACGTAACACAGTAAAGCAAAGATACACTAAACAGTAAATCTTATGCAAGAACCAATAGGAAAGCAAACATGGATAGATAAACCAGCACGCGGCAGTTTTTATCAACTCTTTCTTGAAAGTGTCAAATTTGACAATGGACCCCTCACACGTGTATGGTGCTATTGCGTGTCACATATGCAGCTCAGTGATTCTGTTGGGGAGATAAGTTCTTCATCTGTGAACATACTCTCAAAGCATGTCAAATGTCCATGACTATTTACCATATCGCAACCTGCATAGGTATTTGCATTTCAATATCCCCTACTTTATTTTGAACAGTATATTTGTAATTCTCTTCTTAGGATTCCTTTTCACATTGTGTATTTTCTTCTTAATCTCCGCCGCTAAGACGTTTGTCTACCAGACACAACAATGCTACAGTTAGTTTCTACATTTTATATCAAGCCTGGATACATAGGCTACGAGCATAGGTTACATAACCATACGTAAAATTAACATGTCTTTCTCCCCTACACTCGCAGATGAGTTTACTGACGGCTACATCATATGGCTCTTCTACAAATCAATGGGGTCTACTCAATCCAGATGGTATCTCTTTGAGCCTCAACATGCTCTAAGAATCGACATGGTGTCCAAGAGCACACATTCTACTTGTTATATACGCTCAGATTCACAGCCACCAATTATTCTATTGGCTAATTATGATATAATTAATCATGTGATTGGTCACTAATGCTGAATATGGAATGGTAACTTTCCTATTATTAGTGATAAACATGATATTCTGGTTTCACCCAGAATCGGTTATGTTTATCAATTACAGCTTTTTTATAACCTATCACACATTCAATTTGAGTGCGTGCGATATGAATACCTTGTCTATATATGAAGGCACAAATTCTACAATAGTACATTCTACATTCCTCCCTTTTGTCGGGGGGATCACGTGGCTAAGTAGGTAAGACGCTGGCTCGCTAGCCTGGAGGTCGGGTGTTCGATTCCTGCATTGGCCGAGAAAGTTCATCCAGATTTTCCGGCGTGGTTCCCCCTTGTCAGTGATGCAGGACGGAGGGCCTGACAAGGACAGCTGTCTAGTCCTTCGTATGAAGACGAAAAACCAAGGTCCCGTGTATACATTGGAATGCACGTAAAAGATCCCTTGGCAGTTGGAATTCGATATAAGAGTAGGCGATAGTGCCGCTGCCCGGGCAAAATTTCCCGTCTTCATTAGCCCAGCATAGGAATAGAACAGTAGGACGTTAAACCCCATTTCATTTCATTTCCCTTTTGTCAGGATTTGACACCTGAATATTGCCACTCGTGCAAACAATCCCCAGTTGCGTCTTCAAAAAGCATAAATAAACCAAATGGCATTAATAGTATAATTTTATTTCAATATATACAAAATCAATAAATAATGTCAGAGTTCAATATATCGATGGGTCATTCCGTGACCATTGGGATTCCCTGAAAACGCGTTATTCGCACACAAATACACACTAGTAAACATAGTTCTGCACTGCAACACCCGCAGACATGTTTGAACAGCTAACTTGAGAGATTTAGGCCTGTACATCCTAATCTGGAACTGACTCTGAGTATTCCGTTTCCTAAATATACTGTCACGACACTAATGGTATAGTTGGTCCCAACGTGGTTCCATATAAAAAGTGGTCCTACCAATCAACCATACACATAATCTATATTATGGCTCAACTGAACATGGCCCGATAACTTTACTGCAAATGAGTAAGAAAAACCAACAAACAATAATTTCTTATATTGTAGCTTAATATACATTATTCAATATAATGTACAGTGTACATTTAAACCATTAACTTTTATGCACCGGTCAATAGGAATCTTGAACTACCCCCCTCCCTCAAGCGTTCGCAAAAAAATACTAGTCAAGAATATAAAACTGAGCCTACTGGGGGTCGGGCAAATTACTCATAGTTCCGTTGGCGTCAGTTCATTTTACCTAAATATTCTAAAAACAGTAACAAACTTGACGTTATAGTTACGATTATCCAGATTACCACGAAAACATCATAAAGACAATCGCGTCTACAATTATACAGGTGGAATTTCCTGCATGACAGCCAACGATAACAGACGGAGGTTCGTCCGTTTTCAGAAAAAAACAACACATTTTTAAAAATACAATATTTACTGAAAAATGTGTTGGTTGAAGATTCGACGTCTATTTGTGTTCAGCAATATTTTATTTTGTTCAAGATTCACCTTTGGCAAATTTTTTTCTCACCAAAGATTCACAACTCTTTCACATTTAGCTGGCTATTTTGACGTCAAGATTCGACGCCGAATTGGCCGGTGCATTAATAAAACACAAAATCAACATAATCTTACCTAAAGTCTGTTAAAATTATCCCCCTGATCAACCCGATTGAACCTGAATGAACAATACTATAAAGACTAACAATGTTGTACTATCCACCCCTGCTTATCTATCTATCTATCTATCTATATATATATATTTGTGACTGTCGTTTGTCTGTCTGTCTGTCTGTTCGGGGTTGGCGGCTACGCTAGGTCTGCCCCGAGTTTGAAATTTGGGGTCTAGGGGTAGTTTGGACCGGGGAGTAACATAAGCCAGGTGGCGTTAGTCTACCATTTCCGGTTTCGGAGTTATGACCCCCGAGCGAAGCCGGTCTGAAATTTGGGGTATAGGGGTAGCTCGGACCGGGGAGTAACATAGGCTAGGTGGCGTTAGTCTACCACTTCCGGTTTCGGAGTTATGACCCCCGAGCGAAGTCTGTTCCACACTGATCCGCAGTGAATATTTGCTTGGCCGCGACAATCACTGATAAGGATGACATTGATGCGGCTTAATGAGCTAGAAATATTAACTTTTTTCCTGCGACAAATTAAATTCTAAAACATTTTTTGTATATATTGGAAAAATAAATAAAGGCGTTTGACGTATTTGTAGTTAAAAATTATTTCCGATTTAGTGTAAATGGGTATTAAAATGACTAAAATGCAGCATTCTCTCCGCCATTCAGCCAATGATTCACACCGCGTGCTGTGACAGCACGTGTTAAGGCAGTCATCTATGACAGAGATATTATACGAGACTCGTAATTCTCTGTGAAACAGATTGAGTCTGTTCGGGGTTGGCGGCTACATCTGCCCCGAGTCTGAAATTTGGGGTTTAGAGGTAGCCCGGACCGGGGAGTAACATAGGCCAGGTGGCGTTAGTCTACCACTTCCGGTTTAGGAGTTATGACCCCCGAGCGAAGCCGGTCTGTTCGGGGTTGGCGGTTACACTAGGTCTGCCCCGAGTCTGAAATTTGGGGTAATGGGGTAGCTCGGACCGGGGAGTAACATAGGCCAGGTGGCGTTAGTCTACCACTTCCGGTTTCGGAGTTATGACCCCCGAGCGAAGTTTGTCTGTTCGGGGTTGGCGGCTACACTAGGTCTGCCCCGAGTCTGAAATTTGGGGTATAGGGGTAGCTCGGACCGGGGAGTAACATAGGCCAGGTGGCGTTAGTCTACAACTTCCAGTTTTGGAGTTATGACCCCCGAGCGAAGCCGGTCTGTTCTGGGTTGGCGGCTACACTAGGTCTGCCCCGAGTCTGAAATTTGGGGTATAGGTGTAGCTCGGACCGGGGAGTAACATAGGCCAGGTGGCGTTAGTCTACCACTTCCGGTTTCGGAGTTATGACCCCCGAGCGAAGCCGGGTATCCTGCTAGTATACCTATATTGTGCACAAGCTGCATGCCTTTAATTGCAGTTGACAATTCAGGTGAATTTGGGGGATATAATACAACGGAGACAATAAAACTGATGAGTTTAGGGGATCCAAATGAGACAATTAAAAATGAGTTTGGGGGATCCAAATGAGACACATAAAATTGTGAACATAATTTAATTATGAAATTCAGATGTAAAAATATGATTGTGACACCTTTCTTACGATTTTTTGCCCAATATTAGGTAAAAGATCCCTTGAAACCTTTTACCAACGACCATACCAACGTCAACTATAGGATTATATAAGTATTCATACATGTAGCACAAATCTCGCCCTCGATATTATTACACTTAATTACTTTAGATCGATACACGATTTACAAGCAGACGACAAGGAACCACACTGTATCACGTGGTCCGATCGAGACACTGCCGCGTGCAAAAATCTGCAGGGTTTTTATGGAAATTAAAGTTGGGTTAATTTATGACTGTTTGACAAGATAAACAAGACATGACATACTAGCTGGTGAAGACCACTCTAGGAAAATCAACCGTTCTCGACGTTGTGAACTATATCATCCACATGGTGTGTCTGTTTTTATATAATAATCAACTATTCGATCAAGTAACAATCGTTTGGTTCATTAATTTCACTAGGTAAGTCAATCGGGTTTATTATCATATAGATAGATAGATAGATAGATTTTATTACATAAAACACCCTTTTCGGGCAGCATGTAAATTATACATTACAGTCAGCATATGATACACCCAGATGTATTAAACGGTCTAGTTAGTAGAGCAGATATCACCGATTAGGAGTTACTTGACAGATTAGATATTTATTTTCGAGAAAAGCAATACAAATTAGATGAATTAAAGTTGGTTTACTTGATTTTATACGATCTGTTGATGTTCAGTTTACATTTTCTTGATAATGTTTGTATCATTGACTTAATGTATTTAGCTTTTAGCTATGTATCTGTCTGATAAAAACAACCTTGTGGTAATTGTATTGATAAACATCCGTGTCTGTCATTGTTGTTTGGGGATAGAACTGATGGAGGGATGAATTTGTTGGAAATTATTAGACTTATTTGAGTTGAATATCTCAATTAAAAGGATAAATAAAATAAACATTTGCATTTACATTCAAGAAATTGACAGTGGAAGTAGTTATAGCGCTTAATAATTGCATTACGTGTTACTCTTATGCAAGTTATCAATTTACATTGGCGGCCTTAACATTTCCATAGAAACACCCAACATGCAAATAAATCCAGGTTAACATACAATTTTTGTTTTTGTAATAAATGTTAAAGAGTCTAACTGTCACAATAATCATACGATGACAGCAGTCTGGCCGTTTTCCTTTGGGTTTAACCGCCACGCCTTTTTTGCAGGTGAAATGGCAAGGTGTGGTACATTTAATTAGCCATTCTGTCACGTTTAATTAATTATAATTGCTACTTCCACACAACTATTACAGTGCCATTCTGAGGTTCCAGGATGTATAATTAATATAATTTGACATGGTGTCAAAACCGTGAAATGTCATACAGACTAGGGTCATGTTTCACGAAATTTTAACTAAGATAAAATCCAAATTTTAGTAATTTGAATGGATAATAATAGATGGATTGTAGTGCTTAGCCAATCAAAATTGAAGTATCTACTAAAATTTGGATTTTATCTTTAGTTAAAATTTTGTGAAACGGGACCCTGGCTTATATTAAGCATAGGTATTAGCAGAACGTGATTTTAAGACACAAACAAGCACTTGCGCGAAATTTCGTAAAACGTTAGCTGCCGTGCAAATGCAGCTAATATATACCAGCACAATCCTTGAATGGCATTTAAAGTAGCTAAGTCTCTAACTCAATATCATCCACAGTCTATGACATTGAAAACACAAATTTTTTGTCAATTTAAATCAACGCCGATGTTGTGATCTTACCCGGAAAAGATGGGCTTCTGATATTCAATATTTAAGACAAAATAAACATTTTACCAATGATATTTTACAGTCACACAGCTGTTGTGCGGAGACCAGGGCCCGTAAGAGAACTGGGACATTTCTCCAGGGTCTCAGAGCGGAGAGGGGCCCAGAGGTATGCCAAGTAATGTTTTAAAAACAATTTGGGAATAAATTAATAAAGAAATGCACTGTTACTTGATCGTAAAGTAGAGGAAAACCGGTGACTTTTCTGAATGTGGGTACCTAGTGGCGTTGGTACACTGTAAAAAATATCCATTTTTTATGTGGCCGAATTCCGTAATTTAACACCTTTTTTCTGTTAATCGATGGATTTTCTGGAGAAATTGTGTTAATTGTCTGAATTATTTCTTCAAATTACGTGTTTTATGTATTTCTGTGGAATATTCAGTATTAAACAGGAAATTTCCGTGAAATTTAGGGATAAAATGTTTTATTCCCTTCTATAACGGACTTAATTCTGTTATTTTACGGAATAAACGGTGGAATGACAAGGAAGTTCCGTGAAATTTAGGGATAAAATGTTTTATTCCGTTCTGTAATGGACTTAATTCTGTTGTTTTACGGGATAAACGGTGCAACGATAAGTAATCGTATACATATATAATCATTCCTAATAATCATCATGTTATAGTATTCATTTCAATTTATTAACCATAATATGAAGAATCATATTTTGTAACGTTTGGTATATTAATTGACATGTATATCTAATTTCCATTATTTATAAGATCTATAAAGTGTATTGTTATTCATCATACGGTAATCAGATTGTAAGTATTTTCATAAATATGTAAAAGTATGTTTTAACGCTGCGGGTGTTAAGGTTGTAATATCTGGTAATCAAGCGCGCTAAAGTCCGGATAGTACAACCGGTTGGCCAGTGTAAGTCGGTTTGTCTCTATGGCAGAGTCAGCATACCTGCGAATTGATAATACCGCAAACTCACATCTGAAAGCCTCCAACCACTGACGAGTAGCGGTTTGTGATACCTTGCTCTCGATTCTTATAATAGCGAAAAGAGGTTACGTTTAAAAATTATTTGCGATATCACTTCGGTGGAAGCGGACGTTAAATAAAGCTATTTCACGCACGCGTATAAAGTCAATGGTTAATTCAATGAAATTTTTATCACCTTCATGGTCAGGTAACAAAATTTACCAGGATTTTTTTTTCTGTATTTGAAAATGGAATTTATGTTAATTGAAGGAATTTCTGTAAATTACAGGAAAAACAAATACGGATAAAATTTTCCTGGTAATTTTTGTTTCCGGAATTTTTTACGTTTTTTCACGGAAATTTTTGTTACAGTGTAGGATTATAATCTGATTCCGTCACTCCACTTTTTTTCTCGTCACCTTGAGGGTAAACGGACCCCAGCAGGTAATCGGTGCCCAGTCCGTACCCGTAGAACGCTACAATGATGGGGAGTGTGCCGTTGTCGTGCTCCCCCACCAGTGGTCATGCACGCGGTCATCGATCGCTATAGGTAGGCTAAAATAAAGCGAAATTGTTGCCTATCTCAGTTTCTATGTTTTAAAAAAGTTAGCTCCATTCAACCCAGATAACTTTTGACCATATATCTTTCAAATATTTTCTAGCCCGGATAACACACCGCTCCCTCACCGAGTCGCTCGGGCCATGGCGGAGACACGGGTACTTGAGAGACAAAGGATGGATTAATGAATATCCCTAATTCTAATGGGTGTAGGTGTAGATAACAGGGGCGTATCCAGGCATTTTAGCAGGGTGGAGACAACGTCAACTTTCACGTGAGTAGTGGATTACCTGTGAATTTTATCAACTCGGAACCTCGTGAGACAATATTTCTGCTCATTAAGTGCATATGTACAGGATTAGCGTGGAGTGGGGCCAAAACGGCGGCAATACTTTGTATGTTCAACGTTCTTTCGATGAATATAGGGGCAAATACACACCCTGAGCGATGCTTCGACCCTACCCTTTGGACACGCGCCTAAGTATAACACTTTTATAATATGTAGTAGTAAACTTATATCTATATATAATTGAAGTAGATAATAAAATTTTATTATGTCTATGAAATATCTAAAAATAACTCGTTTTAATTCCTAACACACGTAAGTGTTGGTGATATTTTTTTTTTTTTTTAAAAAGAAATATATGATCTTTTAAGGTAAAAATAGAATTAGAAAACATCTTGTGATGTATTATCACTTAAAGGTACATTATGTAAGATTTAGATAAAAACTGGTCGTTCTTTCTATTATATACTCTTCAAAAAAAAAAGTAGGGGATATTGAAATGCAAATACCTATGCAGGTTGTGATATGATAAATAGTCATGGACACTTGATATGCTTTGAGAGTATGTTCATAGAACTTATCGCCCCAACAGAACCACTGAGCTGCCCGTGCGATACGCAATAGCGCCATACACATGGGAGGGGTTCATTGTCAAATTTGACACTTCAAAGAAAAGTTGATGAAAACTGCCGCGTGCTGGTTTATCCTATCCATGTTTCCTTTCCTATCGGGTCTTGCATAAGATTTACAGTTTAGCTTATCTTTGCTTTAGTGTGTCACGTCTACGTGCTATTGGCATGCTTCAAATGGGTTCTACACAGCGAGCAGTAGCCAACATGCTTAATGTGTCACAGTCAGTGATCAGCAGACTGTGGAACCGGTATCAGCAAACACACAATGTTGATGATAGACCTCGTTCAGGTCGTCCTAGAGCCACTACACAAGCCCAGGATCGATACATCCGTACACAGGTCCTGCGAAATCGAGCACAAACGGACAATCAGCTTTCTGTAAACTTGTACCAAGTTACAGGAATTCGAGTTACAGTTACAGATACGCGTGTTGTGCCTCCATTTACTCGCCAGCACATGGTAAACAGGCGTCAATGGTGTAGGCAGCGTAGAAATTTGGGTAATCGTCGATGGGCGCATGTAATGTTCTCAGATGAGTCCAGATTTACTCTGGATTTCACCGATAGGCGTGCTTGCGTTTGGAGACGTGTAAATGAGCGTCATGCTAACGTTAACGTCAGTCAGCATGACAGATTCGGGCGTGGGTCTGTTATGCTGTGGGGAGGATTCACCATTACTGGCAGAACGGTCTTGCTTATTGTTCAAGAAAGGGTCACTGGTGTGTACTACCGTGACCACATCCTGGCACCGATAGTTCTGCCCTTTGCTCAACGTGCAGGTCGACGTTTCTTCTTTCAAGATGATAATGCCCGTCCCCACCCCGCTCGTGTCGTGAATGACTACCTCCAGCGTCACCATATTGTACATAGGCCTTGGCCAGCCATAAGTCCTGACCTTTCCCCTGTAGAGCGTGGCACTGCAAGAGGAGTGGGTCAGATTGCCCCAAATCGTGATTGGACGGTTCATTAGGAGCATGCCACAACGAATTGCTGAGGATTGGTGGAGCAATTACTCATTATTAAGACAAAAATCAAAAACGTCCATTTTCACTTTTGACTGTGTATCTCTTTGCGAAGGGGGGTTGGATGGCCGAATGGTTAGCACGTGCGTGCTGTATCATAAAGCCTGTCATTGAGTCAACTGGCGTGGTTGCGAATCCCCGGTTGTACGTGACAAGGAGTAGGGTCGCCTTCCAATCTCGTGTGTTTTCTCCGGGTCCTCCGGTTTCCTCCCACTGCTAAACACCCCTACGCGCAAGCGAATTATTGAAATAAAAAAAATATACCGTATGTTAGTCCCGAAATGACCTAGTTTGTGTCGAGTGGACGTTAAACCCCATTTCTCTCTTCTCTCTCTCTCTCTCTCTCTCTTTGCAAGTGAAATAGGGTCATCAGATAAGACGCCCATATAAACTGTTTATGTTCATGTGTAGGCAATTGGCCTGTTATTGACATACACTGGTTACCTCTAATAAAAACAGCAGTGCATTTCCGCAGTTTTGTATTGTTTCTGAATACCCCCTACTTTTGTTGAAGAGTACATTTCAAAAATAGATAATGTAAAATGGATATATTGAAAATTTCAGTGAAATTACCTTATTCTGTGCTAAGCGACGAATGTTTGAAGTTTTGACAAAATGTAGCGTAGATTGTTTATTATCGTAGCAACGATACTTGGCAATCGAGACTAAGTCTCGGTTATCTATTTTATTGTTAAACTCGTAAATGGCCATGAAAGAAAGGGTTCTAATCTACTTAAGATACATTATGTAGGATTTAGATACAGGACTGATCGTTCTTGATATAATATTTCAAAGATAGATAAAGGAAAACGTGCAATGATTGTGTATTATCGTAACTGCGGTACTGGTATATTCTAAATTAAAAACAAGAATTAGAATTCAATATTGGCCCATTTCAATCAATAATGATGTTGATATCTAGTTGTAATATTTGTGGGATCCTAATATCCAATATTTAAGACACAATGGACATTTTAAAATCATCACACGAGTCGTGTACTCGATGGTTTCGACCGCCATTTTGTGATGAACAAAGATAAACATATCCCACAAGACAATGCGGAAGTTCTTAGTAGTGACTGATTCACAAACGTCAAAATTGGATTTTTCACGTATTTCACCGAACATAATTGAATAGAGAAATTACGATAAACTTTTTAAAAATTGAATATGAATCACATTAGTGTGATTTAAATCAAGAATCATCCGATGGCCCAGAAAGTTGATTATGGGCTTGGCATGATAATAAATGTTTATATAATAATTTATATAACATTTCTGAAGCCACAAAAAGACATCCAATATTGTTAGATTTAGCTCTTACATAGTGCATCATTAATATTGTTTTATTAACCTGTAACTTTCCATATCTTACAGTCTATGTTCAATATTTTCATCGTTACAGAATTAAACGTTGATGTCACAGTCTTGCCATTACAAAAATCGATGAAGATACATTAGAATTGTGTAATAAAGATCTCACAGCTTGCCGTCGCCAGCACTTCAAACTTCTCGTGTCGTCTTCATAAGATACGGGTTTTCATATAACGTCTGATAACGTTTCCAAGACCTCAAAACGGGTTATATGGTAAGATATATTCAAGTAACGATTTGAAAAGACCAAACTATTTCGTCTACTGGAAGAAGCTAAGCCTGTTGTAACTGTTTACAGCTATCTGTGTAACAGCAGGTAGCCTTGTTTGCAAACTCCTTTCTTAATCGGTCCTTTAACCGAAGTTGTTGGGGATCCCGTGTTATTGATATACAATTAAGCGTTCAAAGTTTTATGGTTAGACAATTAAACGTCTATAGTTTTATAGTTAGACAAATAAACGCGGGGAACCATTTGTAAACTAGTATGGATGGATAACATCTCAGCATAATTTGTACAAATACAAATTATTGGGCATCAAAACATTCAATTGTTCAGAATGGCAAAATATTATGCGGTTAGCAGCATTTTATATTGGAAAGTGTAGTTATTTGTGATTATCGTTGTCGATCAGTGGGGATCTGAAATGATGGATTCGGTGCTGCCTAAAACAAAACAGGCTAACGTATAAAAAAAATAACGGGAATTGTCATATTAATATGGCGGTTGAATTTGTGCTAATAAATCACCACGTCCGTCATTTACCGAGAAAGAGAATTAACAAAATGGCCACAACCGTCATTCAAAAATGATTAACAGAGTTATTTCTTTTATATCGATGTCAAGGGTGGATCAATGAAATCTTGTTTGAGCATTAAGACTAATGTTTCTACTTAATAATTTGGACATCGATTCTGCTTAGATCAACACAAAAAATTCATCAAAATTCTTATTATAGATGTTCGTTGATATATTACTATCATATTTACCGTCAAATTCTTGCCTTAAACCATGGAGAATAACTCAGCTTTATCAAATTCGTCCAATCAACATTGGGAAATGCCTTTCGGGTGTATAATCTTCACGATTGTTTATTTAGCTCTCAATATAGTTATCAGTTTATTTATTAACACGCTTCTCATTGTTATAATGAATTATTCCCCGAGTCTGCGAACACCACCCAACACCCATCTAATGAATATATGTGCTAACAACATACTGATGTGCACTGGGATGTTGTTCTCTTTACTGTGTATCAATTTCAATACTCTCCAAGTTGAAACGGCAAAATCCAAAGCATTAAGTGGTGTACAATTATTTTTGGTTTTCAATAGTATGTTGCAATATTGGGGCACGTTTGCCGCCATTGGTTATTACAGACATAAAACTATCAAACGCCCAACTCTATCTTTGGGACGAAGGCGCCATGTTGTGTCGAGATGCATTACTGGAAACTGGATCGTTTCATTGTTACTAAGTACGACGTGCAGTTTATCTTTTACTGAAAGTTCGCCTTATTTGAGAGATTCCATCGACCCATTCAGAAAAGAATACTATTTGGGCAGACGTCAAGACACCCCTCCAGAACAACTGATTATTATTTTCGTGTTTTTAACGGTTTTTATCGTTGGTCTTGTAGTCATAATTTCGTCTTATTACAGTATTTGTAAAATGTTGAATATTACTGGAAGATTTGCAAAAAATCGTATCATTCCTTGGCAACGCTCGCCAAGTATTCCGTCTGACGCTACCGACTTACCAATTCAAGCTAGACAGCCGTACAAACCAGATTGTAATAACGCTGGTGCTTACTCAATATCAGCCAATATTAAAGGAGATAACTTTATCGTCCATTATCAGAAATGTGACCATTCTTTAGCCTTTGAGGACATAATAGCTTTAGAGAATCCAATTCTCGCTGTCCGGATCCGACAACATTACTATCAAAAACGTGCTCTTAAGCCAACTTTAAGTACCGGAAGTACGGCTTCCACAAGATCGAAATGTCTAGATTTCTCTGATATTACTACTGGCGCTGGATTAGAACGTTATCAGATGTTAAAGAACAATTCTATTTTAAGAAACCAAAGTTTGAAAAGAGATCGTGTGAGTTTGAGCAGTGCTACCAAAAACAGCCTTGTTATGTTATCCGCCTATATTGTTTGTTCCATGCCACTTATTATATGTACAATCCCAGGTGCCTTGAATCTACTTCAATCTAAACATAGAATTATAACATTACTATTTTGTAGGCTTATATTTTGTATTAATGCTCCTATATACCCCCTTTGGTATTTGTTATTTAGCAAGCGAATAAGAACCTGTTTAAACAGACTTTGTGAAAGTCTATTAATTCGTTTAAATATGAGAAGATGATTAAAATGTATTTATTTTGTGTTTTTAGGCTTTTTGTTGTTGTTTTGGTAATTTGTATTGCATAGACTAGGTCATCGGATACAATCCTGGCGTTCATGTTAACTGGCATATTATACTATAGGTGGAATTTACGACATAGTTGGGTTGCCTGTCCAACCTCGTGGGTTTTCTCCGGGTCCTCCGGTTTCCTCCCACTGCTAAAGCCCCCTACGCGCAAGCGAATTATTGAAATAAAATTAAACCATATGTTAGTCCCGAAATGACCTAGTCTGTGCCGAGTGGACGTTAAACCCCATTTCTTTCTTTATTTTTTTTACGACATAGTGATACCTCTTAAAACCCGGCAATTAGTACGCTACTGTGCTTAGTTGGATGCATTTAACTTCTTAAAATGAAATGAAATGGGGTTTAACGTCCTACTGTTCTGCTCCGAAATGGGCTAATGAAGACGGGCATACGCCATACAGTGTGCTATGAGGGGAATTTTGCCAGGACAGCGGCACTAGGGCCTACTCATATATCGAATTCCAACTGTCAAGGGATTTTTTTTACGTGCACGCCAATGTGTACACGGAACCTCGGTTTTTCGTCCCATCCGAACAACTAGGCAGCTGTCCTTGTCAGGCCCTCGGTCCTGCATCACTGACAAGGGGGACCACGCCGGAAAATCAGGACGAACTTTCTCGGCCAATGCAGGGATCGAACACCCGACCTCCAGGCTAACGAGCCAGCGTCTTACCCACTTAGCCACCGTGACCCACTATCCCATGTAGGAGAATACTACCGGTGTAGACTGCAATAACCAGACGCCAAAGACAGCCATTCAATTCGGACTCTTCGCAGATTTCGCCGAACATAACAGATTAGAAATTGCAGTAAAAATAGAAACGATTGAATGTAAATCAGTTTATATACATTCATATTACATTATTATATGAATTACGACCCATTTGTGTCCATTTCTAGGTGCCAAAGAATAGCGATTTAGCTCCTTTAAGATTGAAAGATGTCCGTTGGTTGTGCTGAGTTGTGATTGATAAAGAATACGTTGGGTGTGTTTGCCTTTCCAAGGTCAGAAAAAGCCGACGCTTCATTGTTGACAATTGGGCGTAAATCCATGTTTGTGGACTGTTTACGTATTGCATATGAATTGACAAAAGATGTCACCAATCTTTACTGCTAACATTTATAATTTATCGTCCAATTTTTGAAAACATTCTTTCTTAAATTTCCTAATTAAGTCAATATATACGTTTCTAATTAGTCTGAAGTTTTACCAATCTTGGTCAGAATTGTTTTCTTATACTATTATTAATCCAGAATTTATCACGTGGTCTAATCTTTTCTTCTTTATTTGGAATATGTTTCTTTATTTGTGTCAGTTTGAAAGCAGTAAAGGAAAACTCCATGGAATCAACAATAATGGACTCCCAGTCATAATTCAAAGCCAGGGTCCGTGAGAGGTTGGGGGGGGGGGGGGCAGATGGGACACTTGTCCAGGGGTCCAGATTCTAGATGGGCCCGGAGGTATGCAGAGTATTGTTGCTGTTTTTTTTTTTTTGTTTTTTTTTAAAAAAAAGTTAGTATAAATTACTAAACAAATACACGGTTACATGATTTGGGTATGGTGGGTAGGACTAGAATCGGATTCTGTCAGTCCACATTTTATGGAAAAAATTGGTGTATTAAAAACTATAAGGCACCTGCCCGGGCCTTCGCGCCGTGAGACTCCCGACCGTCCTTGATTCGCGGGCCTTGGTCAAAACGTCGTGTCTCAGTCCGTGTAGCACCATGGGTCGTCGGTCAGACGTGGAGAGCGGGTGACGTTAAACCGGTCGCCACATCCGGCGTATAACCCATGCATCGTTTCTTACTACATATTTTGGAACAGCCCTTGATCTTCTAGGGGTTGGTTGGCTCTGGACTGGCTACTGTTTTATCTTTCTTCTTGTATGACTTCACCATTGTGTTTTCTTACGATACCGACTCAAATATGTAACAGGAACAACAATAGTTTTTTTTTCTATACGTCTTTATTTCACAACAGTTACACAATAGTTTACATTACAATATTTAAAATTAACCCAGGAAACCCTACATCGTGAAATGGTCGTCTAAAGAACCCAATACATGTCTGATCTGTAAAGAATCCAATGCGCGTCTGACTATTCTAGCCCCCACGCCCTCTAATTTATAGGTGCCTATTCTTTTGTCAGTAATGTTAAGACTGTTAACAGTTAAATTCCAAATATGGAATGGACATGCACCCCAACCTGGATATCGACAGGGATTGTTACCTAATTTGGTAAACAAATATGATATTTTTATAACAAAGAAACATGTAAATGACCAACATGTTCATTAATCTATAGCTCAGTTAAAGATACATTATGGGAGATAAGATAAAGAGATGGCAGTTCTCGCTATAATAGTTAAAAATTAGATAGTGTAAAGGTAATTTGCTAAAAATTTCAGTCAAATTGATCCACTATGAGACGAGAAAGAAGCGGGTGAAATTTTTGCATAGTCTCGGTCATCATTACTAAAATCATTAATATAAACAGCATCGTCTCGATTATCCACTTTTTCTGATTTAATTATCAACGGCCGTTAGCGGCATATAGGAATCTAATTCAGCCAACATCGAAGGCTAGCCTTGACATCGAGAGTTTATTATGGTCTGAATAAGTTAATTAATGTCTAATTGATAATTTAGATAACATTTCAGGCCTAAAGAAAGACTTGTAATAAGCAGATTTTGCTCTTGCATAATGCATGTTTAACGTATCAAAATAACCAGCATATACTTTCTATATTTTTGGTTATGAACTTAGAATCAATAATATGAAAGATAACACTATTTCTCCACCTTTGTCTTTAGACCCCATGATCTGTCATTGTCACAATATTTCATAAACAATTTAATTTTCGTTTCAGAATAAACTTATACCATAGCTGATATTTTGGCAATGGAGAATAATTAATCAAGACCATAATATTATTCTACATATGTGTTCTTTAGTACAAATCCCTGCCATCCATATCACTACACCCGTCAAAGTCGGTCTTACCATAAAGTTAGATAGTACGTTTAAAGCATAAGAGTGTAAGTTCAGAGCCATTTACAAGTAATTATTTCATAATTATTTCTAAGCTAGTCTGCTTGTAGCCCCATCCTGTTGAAACACATTGGAAGTTGTTCGGTTAGAGTCATACAGCAAGCGGGTAATAATCACCCACCATTAATCAGTTGAGGAGACCACACTAGACAGTATGCATTATGTGCGACCAGACAATCATATACTAAACAGTAAAAAAAAAAAAAATAAAACGTCAGTACGATTTCAAAATCAGAGAGGCACTTTAATCAAATCATTTTTGAAAATGACCTACTAAATGCATCAAAGCAATTTTTTGTAAACCGTATGTTGACACATTAGTGATTAATTCATCACAATTCCAAGACATTACGAGAAGGTTTAGATTCTGTACACAGTCTATACATCAGTATCTGGTGTGTCCACCGCGAGTGTCAATAACAGCAGCGCAGCGTCTGTACATGGAGTGGACCAGACGATTGATGAACGTCATTGGCACCTGGAACTCTCAGAAAAGTCTGGCGCAATCCATCGGCTATGTTTGGTCTCGGTACGACGTTATTAAGTCTCCTCTGAATTTCATCCCAAAGATGTTTAATCGGGTTTAAGTCCGGACTAAGGGCTGGCCAGTGCATAACGTTGACACCGCTCTGCTGTAGAAAGTCCCGAGTAACTCTGGCGGTGTGGGCACGGGCGTTGTCGTGCTGGAAAACGTTGTTTGGATGACGAGGGAAATGTGGTATGACGTGGGGTCTGAGAGCTTGATCGATGTAGCGCACTGCTGTGATGCCGCCCCCTCTCTCTGGACAAAGATTTTGGAACACCACAGGACCCACTCTCTGGTTCCGGCCGATTCCACCCCAAACCATTATGCTTGGACCCCATGAGTCTCGTTCCATGACACATTGGTCAAAATAACGCTGGCCACGTCGACTGCATATTCTGGTTCTGCCACCAGCAGTTGATACGCAATACCGACTCTCATCGGTGAACAGAACAGTTCTCCATTGCCTGTTTCGCCAGTTCTGGCGTTGTTGGGCAAACTGTAGACGTTCACGTGAGACATCGGTGCACTGTATCGGTACTGATGGGTCTTCCGTGTGTTTCCACTGTCTGACGTGCTGTCTCGGATGCCAATGTGGAGCGACTCTGCACGTGCTGTAGCACAACATGACGGTCTTGTCGCCTTGTGGTAACCCTTGATCTGCCAGTTCGGGGACGATCATACTTGGTGTTGGTGGCCCGAAAGCGTTGTAGTGTGAATGATTCAACCAGGTATGGGGGTGCATTTTATAGGGCTGGTCCCGGTGAACAGCACGAGCAGCATGAGTTACATGAAAATCATGGAGAACACATTACCATCTCCGAAGTCAGTTGCGTTTTTGAGAACATTTCTTGGGTTCAATTCTATGTTTGGGAAGGAGCCTTATTGCTCAGGTAAAGTTTGAGATGAGGTCACAAATATACAATAAAAACATTTGGCAAGTTTTATGCCATGCGTCTATCGAGAGTAACATACCAACCTGACGTTTCTTTTGCTGTTTAGTATATATTGTCATGTAAGGCGCCCCCACCAATCATGTCATTATAAGCGCTCCTCCGGGATAAGGCACCCCACAGATCACGCCGTTTTGGGCGCTCCTTTAATCAAGTTGTGGTCTTAATCGTGTGATTCATTATGAGGCGCCTCGCCATTTGCGGGGGGGGGGGGGGCTATATATAACGACATGATTGGCGAGGCGCCCATAAAACCAAGTGACATTGGCTGGGCGCCCCGCTAATCACGTCGTGGCCACCCAAACGATGTCACTCGGCTTTATGGGGCGCCCAATGGGGGCACCCCACAGATCACGCCGTTTTGGGCGCTCCATCAATCAAGTTGTGGTCATAATCGTGTAATTC